AACTATACCGCATAAAAAATTCTAAATGGGATAAGTCAGATGATCGAGGAGGCCCATGCAATTAGTCCACCTCTTCCTATCCCTGCGTTTGTATAATTATGACATAAATAATTTTTAGCATTTCTTTCATTATGGGGGGTGGGGGGTGGTGTGTCATAATGAAACTCATGTTGGAACCACTCTATTGATGTGCGAGATTTACACACTTTCAAATGAAGAAAAATTTGGAAAATACATATTTACATTTTTTGTTTATTTTAATTTACAAAGTTTGGATGTGACAGCTTCACATTTCTGAGAGCAACGGCGATTGAACTTGTTTCCATGGCTAACTAAGTGAAATTGTTTAAAAATGATAAGAATTGGCTAGAACTCAGTAATCTTTCGAAGAAAAGATATTATAGCTTATATCACTAAAAAGCTTAAAAAATGGCGCTTTTTATGAAGTCATGGCCAACTATGGTTTCCATTTAAAAAAAACATATGTTTGTGTCATATGTCAAAAATGACAGGCTTTAGAAAAAAACGGAGAACACAGTCTCATTAAGGATGTGATTATCTACAACTTTTATCTGAAAACTTTTTGTCTAAAATAGCTTATAATGGAATTAGGGACAATTTTTAAAATAGCCGAAATTTGTTTTTTTTTTCGAAATATCTAGTAAGCCATGAATTTTTTCAAAAATCTGAAAGGCGCATATTTATGACCCCACAAAACTGCAATTCTTTTCCCATTTAACCGACTCTCTATCTCCAGTAGTTTCCGAGATACCCATAGAGAACATCGTAGGAAACTCACCCTGTATGTACAGTGTGGACCATTTTGGTTGTTTCTATAGGGTATCTAGGAAACCGTGAGAAATATTCAAATTGTGATACTGCAGTCTCGGGTTCTTTTTTTGAAAAAAAATACAATGGCGCAAACGGATCGCGGCTATCTTGATCGGTTTCGAAGCTACAGGGGGATTCTAAAATTTTGTACTTTTTGAAGATGTTCAATAGTTTGTTTATTTCAACCACCACGGAAAAATGAATTATACATTCTAAAGGCACTTTTCTGTGTAGAATGCAGTGGCGTAGTCAGACTTAAAAAAATATATTTTTGAGATATTAACTATACTTATGTTTTTTTTTTAAATAGAACCCCCTGTATATTTTAAAGTTTTCTTATTCAGCTTGGCATGGGCTTCTCGAAAATATATAACATTCTATATTTATTTTCACTATTAACCTCAACATTTCAAAGTTTTCTTAAAATATCCACTTAGTAGATAGCAGGCCGCGCCGAGTAACAAAGTAAACGGTTGTCATGGTGATCGGAACGTGTGTGTATTTTAAATAATAAAAAACGAAGTGTGTGTATTTTAAATAATAAAAAAATGAGTCAATTTGAAAATTTTGAGAAATATAATATGTTAGAATGTTATATTGAGTCTAACAAGCATAAGCAAATGGCAGCTGATTTATATTTTGAGCGGTATCCAGAGCGCGAGCAACCAAACCCAACCATTTTTAAAAGGTTAGAAGATAGTTTAATCAATTTTGAATCTTTTCAAAAACCGCGTTTGAAAAATTATCAGAAAGAAGATGAATAAAATCAATATATTAATGTCCTCGGAGCCGTAACACTAGATTCAACAACAATTCGAAAAAGCAAATGTGTTTAAGATTTCCCAAAAAAAGATAAATGATAAGTTAAATCATGTCTGCCATGAATGGCGTTGCTATGGGTGTGTTTAGTTGCATTCATTTGTTTCAACGAAACGTCAAAGTTGTTACTTCTCACAGATAAGAGGTAAATGGCTAAATTTCATGTTTAAAATTATAAATTGTTGTTGTTCTTGTGCTCTTTTTACGTTTATATTATTGTTTTGATTGAAAATGACTAAGCAAGCTGCAGGATGGCTGCAGGTATGTATTCTACAAAAACGTATTATTTATTTTGATATTCTCTATACTAACGATTTTTTTTGCAACTAAAAGTTAGGCGTTCAGAAAATTTGATTAAATTTGTGACATTTTTATTATGCCGGAACCACACATGCGGCATTTAGCGAACTCTGAGGGGTCGTCAACTACCGAGCGCTCGTGATCGGACTTCGCCTTTCCATCCACACATGCGGGCTCTGGTAGCAACAACATAGAGACGAGCGCTCGTTCTCGTCGCTGAACGAGTCGCCGAACTCCGACTTCCCCATCCACACACATAGGAAATCAGCGAAGCCCCGATCGGAGATCGCCAAATGCCGCATGTGCGGTTGCAGCATTTACTCAGAAATTTAGTTGCGCATTTCGAAAAATTCAGCATATTGTCTATATACGTTTTAATTAGTAAACATTGGGCTTTCATACAGTAAAATAAAATATTGCGACTTTGCTGCCATTAGCAGTATAGCACAATTTGGCATTAGTAGCGACTTTAGTGGTATGGGCATTGCTCGCGGATCAGTCGTAGCATTAGTAGTATTAGTTGCGATATTACTACTGGCATTAGTGGCATTGACCGTGGAAACACTGGAACAGTGATTTTTCTTTCTTTTTTTAGAATCGACGAATTGTCGTTTATTTTGTTCATATTATTTCCTCTTTAATTGAAAATAGCAATAATTTATATAAGGTCTACATAAAAAAACTTCGATCAACTATCTGTGTCAAATACCCCACTGTGCGACGGCGCGGCGCGGCGTGCAGAGACGGTACCAGCTCTGTCTAGATAATATTGGGCAGCGGTCTGAACATTTAATGTAGTCTTTGTGTTTTTATTTTTTTTATATTAACTGAGAAGCCCGATTGAAGTAACCTTTTAGTTTATATTAGAATATGTTTTTTTGTTTTTGTCACACTTATTTTTTATTTGCTTCGTATTGTTCCATTTTATTTAATTGCTAATTCATGTATTCGGCTTCGAGGACATTAATATATTGATTTTCTTCATCTTCTTTCTGATAATTTTTCGGACGCGGTTTTTGAAAAGATGATGAATTGATTAAACTATCTTCTAACCTTTTAAAAATGGCTGGGTTTGGTTGCTCGCGCTCTGGATACCGCTCAAAATATAAATCAGCTGCCATTTGCTTATGCTTGTTAGACTCAATATAACATATTATAGGTATTTCTCAAAATTTTCAAATTTACTAATTTTTTTTATTATTTAAAATACACACACTTCAATCTGTTGAAATGAAATGTGCCGCATCCATCAAAGGTATGTTCCGATCACCATGACAACCGTTTACTTTGTTACTCGGCGCGGCCTACTATCTACTAAGCGGATATTTTAAGAAAAATTTGAAATGTTGAGGTTAATAGTGAAAATAAATATTTGTGTTATATATTTTCGAGAAGCCCATGCCAAGCCGAATAAGAAAATTTAAAAATATACAGGGGGTTCTATATAAAAAAAGAACATAAGTAAGTATAGTTAATATCTCAAAAAATATTTTTTTGTAAAAAGTCTGACTACGCTACTGCTTTCTACACAGAAAAGTGCCTTTAGAATGTATAATTCATTTTTCCGTGGTGGTTGAAATAAACAAACTATCGAACATCTTCAAAAAGTACAAAATTTGAGAATCCCCCTGTAGCTTCGAAACCGATCAAGATAGCCGCGATCCGTTTGCGCCATTGTATTTTTTTTCAAAAAAAGAACCCGAGACTGCAGTATCAAAATTTGAATATTTCTCATGGTTTCCTAGATACCCTATAGAAACAACCAAAATGGACCACCCTGTACATACCTACCCCTACGTGATAAAGGTGGCCCTACCCATTTTTCTTTTATTTTTTGGACACAAAAAAAAACATGTTTTTCAGCCCTTTTAACTATATAAATACCTTTTACTATATAATACAAAGTATTTTTGAAAAGAAACTATAAATTAGTACATTTAAAATATCGTAAGAAATGAAAGTTTCAAATTGCTGCTGCAAGAATGCTTCATTTTTATTGAAGAATAGGCAACAGTGTAATGAGTATCATCCCATTAAAAACAACTTTCCATTCAAATTAATTTTATTTATACTATATTCAATCCCGACAAAATAAATTTCTTTTTTTATTTTAGTTTTTTTTATACATTTTTACCAAAAATTGTAAATTTGTTATCTACACTTAATTTATTTATTATCAACAGATTTGTCTTGGTATATTATGTATATTTGGAATAAATATAAAATTGTATAAAATCAATCTGATTTGGTAAATAAACAAATATTTACTAAACATAAGTCAGGCATGATTAAGTGTAGATATAAATAATTTTTGAATGAATCATAAACTAATATTATGATAAATAAAGAATAAAAGTACACTATTATATTAAAAAATATCTTGTAAAAGTGAATACAAAAAGTATAATTAAAACCTAAACTGTGTTAAAATGCTTTCATGAGCTGTAACGTATGATATGTGTAATGTGAAGGGATACCTTGACTTAGTTTTTAATAAGTTAGAAAATGCTGATAACATGGTTAGTTTAATTTACCTAATTATAACCAACTTTAAATTTAGCTTTGGCTATAAATCAATGTTAAAAGCCTATTCTAATCTAATGTATGTCACTTTACATGTTTGTTTCTAAATGCCAACGTTAATTAATGCTCTTAGTAAAGTTTAATTACAAAGATAAAATATATTTTTTAAGAATTAGATTAGAGAGATTTAAGCAAATACTTAACTAAAATATTTATATCTAAAAAGATATAAACATATCTGCATTGTTTATATCTAAAAAGTTATAAGTAAACAGTGTTTATCTTTCATAGTTTTTTAAAAAGGTCTATAAGTTCCAAACCACATACATATAGTTTCACAAAGATTTTGTCAGTCTAGTAGGTGTCTGGAATTAATTATAATATAAAGCAGAGCGAACTTAGTGGGTTTTAAAAGAATGTATTAGAATAAAAGGGTGTGACTTTTGTCAAACATATTTTTGGAGATATCTAAAGCTATAATAATTGTACAAGTTAAAACTTAACAGTAATTAAATACTTAATTTTACCTTAAAGAATGTGATACTGCAAAATTAATATGATTACTTTCTATTATGCTGAGCTTCGATATCCTAATGGGCAAACGTCAGTACAACCTTCACAATTACTTATATTTTTTAAAGATATATAAACGACCACGTACATTGACAAACCATACAGCAGTAAATCAGACATTTAAACCGACATAAATTACACTATCTATTATCGAAACCTTTAATATCGTTTAGCAAAAACACGGAAACAACACTTTAAATCCGAAATTCACAGCTAGACGCCATCTTCTTCATCTCTCGGCCATGGAGCAGTACTGTCAACTGTCGTGTTTTGTTTATATGGAGTTACCAAAACAAGAAAAATGAGAAGATTCCATTGGTAATAAATTCCATATATGATTTTTGTATATATATGATCATATATGTTATATTTTACTTATTAATGGATTAGATAATGATTTACGTTTGCTAATATAGTATTGGGTAATTACCTAGTATTGTAAATAATTGGTTAAAGTAAATTAAAAATATATCAGAATCAATTTAAAATATGCTTGCCCCTGTTGTGCCCAATTTAGTTTAAGTTACTTGTGGGGACAATGATGTATCAGTGTCACAAACATTAGAAAAATAGTGCTAGAACCGGGAAATTTGAATTATACGTGTTTTAAGAATTTTGTTTAGACTATATGTATATATTTTCAGATGTGCATAACCCATTATAACAACCTTTTATTTTTTTTTCCTCATATTTTAGGCAAATCATATGTTCAATTAAACCCTATTAAACCAACTGATAAAAATTAATACAACTGATTATGTAAACCTATTTCCCCATATAAATTACTCAAATTGTATATCTTACATAATAATAGTCTTTATTGAGAAAAATAATTTAGAGTATAATTTTTTTTAATTAAATTTAAGATTTTCTTCTCACTTATTACACCTGTATTGTCTTTAGAAAAGCACTTTCCCATATTTTTATTGTCAACATAAATGAGAAATACCTATGTAATAGTGTAAAAAAGTGCAGTAATCAGTCAGCTCAGATTGTTGTTACTCTATCTCTGATCCTACAAATAATAAGAGTATTATGACTATTATGTCTTGATAGTCACTAATTACAGTTACAAAGATTACCTAAAAATCAAATAAGTAATACCAAATAATGCTGATAAACTTATACGGTAGTAGATAATTGACATTAGAGAAACCTCTGTTATATACAGTCATCAAGAAAGTATTGCTTCCTAACTCCTTTTCCAAATAGATTTTTTAAATTCAGAATCTGAAACAAATTATTTATTTTTTGAATAAAAATGATTGTTCACGCTAGGTCTTAGTGTTCAGGCTGCAACATTTAACTGAAAGTATAATTTATGAATCAGTTTAATACTTAAATTTTATATGCTTAAACATACCAATAATTAAAAATTAAATTTACCAAAAATGTCTTTTTTCTTTCTTAAGTTCATTAATAATTTGCTTCAATGAAGCAATTTTCTTGTCCTTTCTTACAATTGTTCTCCTGAGAGTTTTCAATTTAGTTTGTAAGAATATATTTTTTTTTCCTTTAGCAGATCTATCTGATCCTCAATCTGCACAGGCTTAGATGATAGGTATACTTAAAAATATATAGTAGCATTAAAAATATATATCTCTCAAAGAAACCAAAACCAAAAAGTTACCTATAATAAGTGTGATCAACAATTATCATACTATTTTTTTCTGATGGCGAAGCTTTAGGTGGACATTTTTTGATTTCAGAAGATGGAGAATTAACTCTTATAGCTGTTTTACTATAAATATGATCTGTTATTAGTCTACAATAAAAAATTATTACTAGTTCTTATTTTATTTAAATTTTCTACCCACCCACTAATTGAAGGTTCATCAACTATATTATTATTTCTACCACCAATATATGGCACAAGTATCTCATTAATAATATTTGGTGGATAACAATTTTCATTTTTCTTACTGCGACAGTTTAAAGGAGGAACAATTGATAAGTTTCTACTGGGTGCTGCATTTGGAACTAGTAAAAGCTTATTCCCAGATTTATCAATATCACTTTCTACAAAGTGTTCTGATCAAACTCTACGGTATATAATACGCATATTTGGATCTCTACCAATAACATGAAGCCATCTCTGTTGCAGATCAGCATTCTTAGGGAAACTAATAAAATGTAGATAAAATTTTAATATAATATTTTTATTAATAAATTCTAAGTTTACTTACGTGTGAAATGAAACTTTCCCTTTTACTCTTGTGCAATTTTTACATCCCACAACAAAGTGCATTTTTAGTTCCTTCTATATACAAGGTTAAAATATATATACTCTTAAACTCTTAAACCAGAGCTCTTAAACAACTACCTGTCATAGAAAAATAAAATCACAAAACAAATAATAGCAAACAAATAAAATTGTACAAAAGAACACTTCTTATAGAAAAACAAAAATAAATTAAACTTCTTTAAATTTAAAATAAGTTTAAAGTTCAAGGTCAGTGTTTCCACAGAACTACTGTTTCTCACTTACCGGTAAAATGATAGATATAAAGATCATGCCCATGGATCATGCCTATAATAATAGAATCTATGACAATAATTTGGTTACAAAATAGCGAAAATTATATATGACAGTTTTTCAAATAAAAAATATATACATTTTAATATTCTTTATAGAGCCTAATAACTCATTTTCTGTGACTCATTTTTTAATCAATGTCAGAGCAAGATTTCTGTGAGCAAGATTTAGCTGTGATAAATAAGTAAAGAAAATAAAGTCATTCTTAAAACAGTTTTTAAAATTTAAACTACACTGCTGCCATCTAGTAGTTGATAATTTGGATATAGATTATATTTGACCAAATCGAAAACTTCAAAGTGAAGTTTTCATTTCCACCCCCATTACTATGCATATTTCCGATTTCAGCATCAGCAACAGCAACCAACAACGTAGAAAAATAAAAACAAAATAAAAATTTGGATCTTGCAGTATCTGAATTTTATGAACATATTAAGACGGATAAGGCACTTATAATTTTAGTGATGAACCTTTGTGGTGTTATTTAATATCGGCAATATACATATGTAGATATTAATGTTATTTAACTTATCATTTTTGTTATTTCTTTTGTATTCCTGATAATCAGATTCTATGAACTCAGAAAATACATCATCAGATTCGGGCGAAGCTTCGAGGTACTTAAGTTTCTGATATGAAAAGCAGTTTTCTTAAAATAATATAAATTTTTAAGGTTAAATTGGAAATGATTGTGATATTGAAATTATTGTATAATATTCAAATATAGCAAGCTTATGCTCTTTATCTATGTTATGGAATTATCCCGTTACCTGTTTTTAGTACTCAAGAGGCCTCGTCTAATAACAACGACCATTCTGCTATTGATAACATAGAAGACGATATGAAGAGGACAGCTGCAAGAAAATTGATAGAACAATACTTCTATCAACTAACTGAAGGTTGTGGAAACCAGAACTGCAAAAATATTAACTGTGCTTCTAGTGGAGAAGTAAATATAGTGTTGTACTATCTTTACAAAACATATACTTTCTTTGAACTTTGAAGTATATGATTATGTTCAATATAAAAACGTGGAATTTAGTATTTTATATACAGTTTTAACATATTTTTTTTATTTAAGTTAAAACCGATGACGCCCAACGAAGCAGCTGGTCATGCATTAAAGTTATTTTCCCAAGAAGCAAAATTATGTGAAAGACATCCCAGTAAAATTGCAAGAACAAATTTACCAAGTAAAAGCAATACACAAAATGAAAATATAGGTGGAATTTGTTCAATACCTTCTAATGATACTATTATATCACAATCCAGTAAAGATGGAACTAAGAGTAATAATAAGTATAGTAGTGGTAAGTAAATTTCATTAGTTTTTTATCCAAGAAGACACAGGGAAGATTTTGACAGGCAATATCCAAAAAAATATACAGAAAATACAATTTGTCTGTGAGTTAAAATGGCAAACACAAAACACAGCCATCACTCCCAATGGAAGCCTATACCCCTTGGCCTATACCGACTTTTGAACAAATACCTAATATAATATATCTTTGGTACTAAAGCAGAACCCGAATTGTCAACATTGTTTCCCATATATGACATATCGGATGCTGCCTTAGTACCACAGATATATGCAATATGGTATGTGTAGACTATATCAGGAGAAAGATTTAAAAATCGTTGGTAAAATGTGATAAACTCCTAACTCCATTATTCCTAATTTTACAGGAGAGCAAAAAAACAGTATAAAAAAATATGTACACATGTAGAAAGTATATTCCTGCGCTAATATGATAAAGAGATAAGAACTGTGTTTGCTGGGGAACAATAAAACTCAATATTTTGTGTTACTTTATTTTTTTCAGACACAATAGGGAGATAGCAGATATTGGTCTTGCAGAAATAAAAAATAAAACATATTTCTGGAGAGAGCAACCTTTATTGTTTGAAATTTCGAAAATGGAATTTTATATTACCCAAACGTATTTAGAAATAATCAAATAAATTTTAAAAAATATGATATTCATAACTATATATTTATAATATTGTCGGTCTGGAAAATACACAAGTCCAAAAATGAATAAATTTTTAATGCATTTTTAATGAACTAAAATAGCGCCATTTTGGACTTAATCAATATGAAAATAATTTATAAATTATTTTCATATTGATTAAAAGAAGGTATGGTAGATTTTTCCTGGATACAGCTGTATTTCTGGAAGAAATCTAGTCAAATGATATTACATTAGCCACTTGCAAATTTGTCGAATTTTTATTGATAGGATGCTTAGCCTAATTTTTTTAAAAGAACGGTAGCAGGCTGAACATTATTGGAAACAGTGCAGTCATTATTGGTAAAATAGTTGCGTGTGATTTTATTAAATTTTTATTATTTTTCTCCTTAATTTTTTAATTTATATAAAGATTATGTCTCATTTACGTGGAAAAAACGTTGAAAAACATAAAATTGATTAGTTACTTTGAAAATTTTTGTACAAGTAATAAAGATATTTTGGCTTTCTGTTTGTATATAGGGTGAATTTGAACAAATGCAAAACAATTCTGGATTTTCAAGCCATTTAGAAAATATAGATAGAGATATTTTGAACTTAGTTCAGATTTATTGGTACCTGTAAATTGTTTAGTTTCAGATTTTTTTGAGGCATAATAAACTAAAATTAATGCATTAGAAACTATTTTTTAAGATTTGTGTTGTTTTTTGTGTTATTTTCGAAAAAAATATTTTTTTTAAATATTACCTATACTTCTTTTTTTTTTAAATAGAACCTCCTTTATATTTTTAAAATTCCTGATTCAGCTTTGCATGGGCTTCTCGAAAATATATAACACTCTATATTTATTTTCACTATTAACCTCAACATTTCAAATTTTTCTTTAAATATCCAGTTATTATAGTAAGCCGCGCCGAGTAACAAAGTAAAACGGCCTACACACGTAACGATTTATCGTACTGCGCGTTGAACTGCAGATCGTAAAGAAAATCGTACGGCTTGCAGTACAGCCATTTTTTGTACACATGATGCAACACATTGTACTGCCGCAGTTCAGATTATTCACTTTTCGTCGAGAAGGGCTATCGTTATATCAAGAATTTCAAAGAAGAAAGGTGCCGTGCTTGTAGCTGCGGTATTGCTGATAGATGAAGATGATGAACAAAAAGAAATCAAAAAGCGAAAATGGTGTAAAAAGTGGTTGCTGGAGAGAAATATTCAAAAAAAAAACAAAAAAACAAAATTTCATAACTGGAATTTCTTTTCATTTTATTTGCATAATCTTTTGATTTCTCATCCCATAGGCATCTATTTTCTATATATCTTCCCAGAACGTCTTATTTTTTAAATCCATAATATTGATTAAACCAAAAATAAATTAGGAATTAGAAAAAAAATTATATCGGAACTGCGCGCTGCGGCAGGGAATACACTCCACACGTTCAGATTTGCGTTCAAACCCTACCCCAGACACGACCCGTTGATACGATATTTTACGGAAGCTCCGTACTGCAAACGATTTGATGACTGCATACTGCAAACCATCCAATTCCCCTACACACGCTACGATTTATCGTTAATGCGGCAGTTTCGATGGATATCGTGCATGCAGTACGATAAATCGTTACGTGTGTAAGTCATTTAAACGGTTGTAATGGTGATCGGCACATACCTTTGATAGATGCGTGACATTTCATTTCAACAGATTGAAGTGTGTGTGCCGGGAGGCACGTATAGCCGCCCATACTAAAATATGTTAATATCTCAAAAACTGCGACTTTGACTGATTTTGCTGTTATTACAAATTTTGTTGCAAATATTATTCCTAATCTTAATTTGAAAACCGCGTTTCGCTAGCTACTGTAATTTTGGAGTTACGATTTTTTAAAACTTTTAATCCCCTCCCATACCCCCTTACCAATCCCCCACCCCCACCAAAAACTAATGGCTAGATTCTCGGGTGCCACAGCATTTTTGTGCCAACTTTGGTTAAAATCGGTTCAGCGGTTACAGACGGACAGACAGACAGACGGACAGACAGGCGGACAGACAGACAGACAGACACCATGAAAATATTTTGTATTTAGGTCATTTATGACCCAAATAACTCATTTTGAGTGGAATTAAAAAAAAACTTTTTTTTTTCGATCTTAATAGCCTACCATACCTATTGGTATGGTCGGCTAAACCGGCTAAAAATGAGTAAATTTGAAAATTTTGAGAAATACAATGTTAGAATGTTATAGTTGAACGTTGAGTCTGACAAGCATAAGCAAATGGCAGCTGATTTATATTTTGAGCGGTATTTTGAGCGCGAGCAACCAAACCCAGCCATTTTTAAAAAGTCAGAAAATAGTTTAATCCTAACCACCTAGGTCATTTGATATCACTCTCTTAGACTTCTTTCTTTGGGGCGTTCTGAAAAACGAAATTTATCGAAATGCAAATTTATTAGAAGAGTTACAAAATAGTTTTGTTGTGGCTTTGCAAAGTGTAACCAACATACACATTCGAAATGCTGTTAGAGGCGGCGTGCAGAGACGGTGCCAACTCCGTCTAGATAATAATGGGCAGCAGTTTGAACATTTAATGTAGTCTTTGTGTTTTTATTTTTTATATTAACTGAGAAGCCTGATTGATGTAACCTGTTGAGTTTGTAATAAAAAATGTTCTTTTGTTTCTGTCACACTTATTTTTTATTTGCTTCTTATTTTTCGAATTTATTTAATTGCTAATACATGGATTAATTTGAAACTAGATATTCGCTTGTTTCCTTTAATACTCGGCATGACCTACCAAGAAGAAAGTCGATATCTTTAAATAAATTGGAATTTTAAAGTTAGTAGTGGAAATAAATTTAAAAAATGTTAAAATTTTATAAACATAAAATTTGAAATTGTCACAGCACAAAGCGACGCCCAGTTCGGGTTCTTTCTCACTTAATTTTTACTACCGAAACAGCGTTACATCACAAAAAACCTCGTACCTGAGTATTTAATAGTTTCAATAACTGCATTACTAAAAACTAAAATACTTAAATATTATGACAAAGCCATGATTTTAATATTATTTCAATGCGATCAACATCGTAACTGCGTAAAATACAGAGAAATACTTCTGGTTTCTGCCGTATCGAGCGCTGCGGTCGGAATTTTTAAAATCAACTGAAATGCACCAAACCTACACAAAGTGTTTAAACACCTGTTAACTTCTTCAATACTTTTACCAATGCAATATTATATATTTTCTTCTTCTGAAGGAAATTTAAAATAAATCTTTTTCTATTGAATAAGGGGTAGAGGGGACAACAAAGAAAAAATATAATTCAATGTTAGTAACCCCACCAGAGATCAGAAGAGGATCACAATAGATCGGAAAAGGACGCAGCGAAACAGGCTAGCTAATGCCATCTCAAAAATCTAATTTAATGAACCTCGCCAGAGCAATTAAATTTTCAAAAAACAGTTGGCTGTTGTCAATATTTGACTGATTATAAACTTTGTTTTGATCACCCAGTGAGCAATCTTTTGTCACATTTAAGGAACAGTTACATATCGGCGTTTTATTCATGCGACCAATTGCACACTCATGTTTCGAAACTGTATTATTGTCTCGCACACATCGTTGTTGCAAAGGATACACATCATGGCACTTCATTTCTTAATAACTGGCTACACATAAAATGTTTTTTTAACAATAAGCTAGACGTATTAACTTTGAAGTTAATGCAGTGCCATCAATACTTGAAATTTAAATTTTTGATTCTCGTTATTTAAAAAAAGCATCCATCCCCTGAAGTTTTCGCACCTTTCAGTGACGCTCTGTATATTACCATAAATAAAGTACATATTTTTTTAGCGTCTGTACCTTCATTTCTCACGGAAGAAGCCCTTTATGATATAATTGATGAGTGTGAAGCAAATGACTCATATTCACCTCTAATAAGGACAATAGGTGAAGTATTTAGTAGTATAGAAAATTTATCAAGGAGTTTTGCACAAGAACCTTTTAGTCCTTCATCTACACCTAATGTTGAAAATCCAGGTACCTATTTATTATACTTATAAGTCTACTTATAATCGACGTGTCTCTCTTTAAAAACATCTCATTAACACACACATGTAACACATTTGAATATCAGTTTCGCACGTCTTTTCCAATAAAAAAAAAACTTCACGCAATTGTACTTTTTCGTGAATTGGGGTATATTATGTACAACTACATTGCTAATTTGAAACCAATAGACTTAATTAACGTAGGTTTATATTTTTATCAAATTTTGATAAAACTATTATAAAGAAAGGGTAGGCATATGATATACCGGGTGCGTCTCAAAAGTGGCTCACCCTATAACTTTTTTATTTTTTCAGATAAAAAGACGATATTTAGTATGTTAGTATATGACATAAATTAGGATTGATTAACGTATTCAGTTGTTTTCCGCCATTTCCCGTTTCACCGGAAATGACTACAACTTTTGATTTTTAAACGGCACCCTAGGTATTTTATTACTTTATTCGAGAGAAAATGACACTCTGAATAGAATGACATATCATATGTCAACTTTTGACATTTTAGAATATGGTTTATTTGAAATTGCAACATGCGGTGCATAACGACAATTTGATTAGAAATACCAAGTGTGTGGTATCAAATTATTCATAAAAAATGATTTTTCCAAATATGCTAATGAGCCACCCTCGTTTCATTTGAAAAAATTGTGATATGATTAAAAATACGATTTGGGCATCTTTTAACTGGCCATGACAAACCATTAAAAGCATTAGACGATCAGATCTATTTTTCCAAGGCTTCTTGACTAAAAATTAGTGTTTTTAACACAACCATGGCACTCTAGATTGACATTTAAAATACAATTTTGTTTTAAGCCAAAATGTCAAAAGTTGACATGATATGACATTTTCTATCGAATAAAGTAAAAAAAATACCGAGGGTGCCATTTAAAAATCAGAAGTTGTAATAATTTCCATCCATCAAGTGGCCGAAAACAATTGAATACGTCAATCCATCCTAATTTATGTCATATTCTAACATACAAATCTGTTTTTTTTTAATCTGAAGAAATAAAAGTTATAGCGGTGAGCCACTTTTGAGACGCACCCGGTATTTTTGAAATCAGAAATTTCAATCATTATACTTTTACATTTTTATTTGTCTTTGTATAGGGTGTCCCATTTTAGTTGAAATCATACAGTATCTCCGTTGTTAGTGAAGATAAGAGGCTGCGGTTTCCACAAACCTGTCCCACTTTTTTGTCAAACGGAAGATGCTGTAAACACAATTTTTATAGCTCTCTTTGCAATTTGGGACACCTCCCCCCCCCGTATTTCTGTTATTGTGACCGTGTTATCCCGACAACAATCGGGAAGGTGAAAACTGCTTATGTAGACTTTTTACGTAGAATACAGTGGCGTAGTCTGTTTTTCCTCTCTATCTGTCCCAAATTGCAAAATTTTCGAAAAGACCCTGGAGCTCAAAACTCGAAACGAAGAGGGTTATGAAAATGTTGTTTACAGCATCTTCCGTTAGACAAAAAGTGGGACAGGTTTGTGCAAACCGCATCCTCATATATTTACTAGTAACGGAGATACCGTATGATTTCAATCAAAATGGGACACCCTGTACATTATGATTCTTTTGAAGAGCAAGTTTCTGGATTAAATAAAGAGGAGCTTCGCCATTTAGAAGGAGAAAAGGATAAAGACGAAGATTCTTGTGCAAACATTAGTAAAAATGTAATCTTGCCACTTGATATTGCATCATTAAGAAGAGCCTATAACGCACTCTTTAAACTGAAGACGTCGATATTTGAAAACTCTCTTATCAATGCGTTAGTGACGTTAGCAGGGAATTTACAAATGGAATTGCCAACGAGAAAAGATACAGACAACCATGATGATATTGTAAATGTGTTATTAATTGTTTTTGAAATACCCTCTTTAGGTAAGTATAACAAAAAATACGTTTTTGTTTATATTGTTTGTTCATCGATCGTTCAACATCACGTCATATTATTGTCGAACTCTCTCTGACACTTGATAACCAGATTAAAGAAATTGGTGACGTCATTACGGTACATCATACGTCATTTGTAAATTACTGCACATTGTTTTTAGCAATTATTATTGTCGTTTGATTTGGGGTTATCATTTTATTGACGGACATTGATCACTGTCAAAATTTGTTTTTAGTAACTGTAATTGTAATTTGATTTGGGGTTATAAGTTTATTGAGGGACATCAATGAATGTCAAAATTAAAATTTAATTGCGCTGTCAAACAATTTTTAATTTTGGCTTTTTGATTTTTAATTTGAAATTCAATTTTTTTATTACTAAAATGCGTTGTCGATTTAGAGCTCAAACACACTGACGGCCAGGTCGGATATATTGCGTACATAGGTGCGTCCAGATGAACAAATAGTTTCAGCAGGGCTGTCAGATCTAACGATTTTTTACGTTTTACCAATTAGAAAATATTGGTTTCAGAAATGTTAAAATATCCGAGTTAACTAAAAAGCGAAGTTCCTATTCATGAGCTTATTAAATGTTCTAATACTAAATAATGCATTTAAAATATTAATGGTAATTACAGTATGGTAATTAGTATAGTTTTCACACATTGTAGAGGAAGAAAAAAAAATTATACAGGGCAGATCATAAAGAAACTTTAAATATGCTTTTTTATTTTTTACCATCGAAACTAGAAAGTATAATAAGAGGTATCATACCAACCATAAATAGAGTATATCGTATAAAAATGTTTTGAATTTTTACTAGATAACTTTACTCGACCCTTCATAAAAAAAAACTTCGCTGTCCGTCCGTCTGTCACAAAGGTCTATCTTATGAACCGTTATAGCTAGACAGTTGAAATTTTTACAGATAATTTATCTATGTTGCCGCTATAAGAACAAATACTAAAAACGGAATTAAATAAATATTTATGCGTGGTTTAAAGCGTTAGGACTTTACGCTGCTATGACGTTGGAGCCGTAGTAAGGCAGGTTCGAATCCTAGTCAAGGCAACTTTTTTTTAATCGTTTTTTTTTTAATTTTTACATGTTTATTTTTACTTTTTACATATTTATTATTGATTAATACAATTTTTAGTAATGTGTTTCTTCATTTTTAGGGTTCCGTACCCAAAGGGTTGACCAATTTTTTTTAAATTACTTATACTCGCATTCAAAATTTCAGCTAAATCGGAAAAAAAGTTTATAATAATATAGTGTCTAATGTTGTATAAATAATGAATGGTACGGAACCCTTCGTGCGCGAGTCCGACTCGCGCTTGACCAATTTTTTTATTTTGTCTTACCTAGCTTTATCTTTTTAAATAATATAGCGTGTTGCTGATGCTTAGAAAACAGACATTTCTCATACAGTTTAAGAAGTATCAGTATCTGTATTTAAGTATTTTAGGCATCTTGAACTTAGTATCAAAGTGTATTTTATTGTATAAAATTACTGATAAATTGAAAGACAATCAAAATTAATAATATGAATAACATTCCTACATGAATTTAATAAAAAGGGAACTCGGTCAATTAATAATTTCAGAACGTACTTAAAATTTTCTAAACAATATGAACTTATCAGACCCGCCCTAAAACGCGTATTTGACAAACATAATACCTCAGTATAACAGCATCGATGTATTAGATATCCCAATAACGGAACAGGAAATAAAGGCCTCCATAAAACAAATTAAAAACAACAAATCGGCTGGCTGTGACGCGATTCCAGCGGAAATCTATAAGTGTGCAAGTGAAGAACTTATTGGTCATCTTAAGGCTCTCTTCGATGTCATATGGAAAAGCGGAGAGATACCTCAGGACTTTCGCCACGCGAATATAGTTAATATATTTAAGAACAAAGGAAGTGCATCAGATTGCGGAAACTACCGAGGAATTTCACTACTGGTTATCGGAGGAAAAGTTTTCGCAAAAATTATGTCAAACCGCCTTCACCCACATATAGAAAAAATCCTCCCAGAATCGCAAACGGGCTTTCGCACCAACCGCGGTACCGTTGATTCCATATTCTCCGTCCACCAACTACAGGAAAAAGTAAAGGAACAGCAGAGTTAACTGTATGTTGCATTCATCGACCTCACGAAAGCCTTCGACTCTGTAAACAGAGATGCACTTTGGGCAATTATGCAAAAGTTCGGAGTGCCCAACAAGTTTCTTACTGTGTGTAAAAGCCTCCATAACAACAACAAGTCGAGCATTCTGGAAATTAAAAGACAGGGTTTTCTACAATCATGACTTGAGCACAAAAACGAAACTTGCAGTGTATCGAGCAGTAATACTCCCCACCATGTTATATGGAAGCGAAACCTGGGTGCCGTACCGCCGGCACACGAGCGCATTAAACAAGTTGCAACAGAGACACCTTAGACAACTGTTAAGAATCAAATGGTACCACCATGTCTCAAACGTATCAGTCCTTGAAAAAGCAAGTTGCGAGAGCGCTGAAGTCATGATTACTAAATCTCGTTTAAGATGGGCTGGCCACGTATGCAGGATGCAAGAAAACCGCCTACCGAAATCTCTTCTTTACGGTGAACTTGTAGAGGGTAAGAGGAAACCGGGTGGACAACTCAAAAGATACAAGGATGTTTTCATGAAAACTTAAAGGGGATAAGTATGCAGCAACAGTGGGAGGAAGCAGCGCACAATAGAACGCAATGGAGGAGAATTGTAAATTCAGTTAATAGCGACAACCAAAAAGTGAAGAGGCAACACAGTAATGAGATTTTTGAATGTCCGGAGTGCGGAAGAGAGATAACATCACGTATCGGGCTTTTCAGTCACAGAAAGGCCCATGACAGGAAACGCCTTGCGTAACCATCTTCTGATGCGTGTCAAATACTCGTCAGCGAGTAATGGCAGTAAGTAAGTAAGTAATTTGACAAATAATCATGACGTAACGTTGAAGGATGGCTGAACATTCTTTTTAACATTAACATTTTCCAACAATTATCAATAAACTAAAATTTATATTTTATCTGTTGCAAAAATATACAGTATGTCCCCGGATTGTCTTTAAAAGTGGAAAAACTTTTTTATTGACATTTTGAGAAAAAAAAGCATTCTTCACAAAAATTTTTGCTTGTTCTAAAAGGGTCAATTCCGTTCATACTTTCCCAAATTTCCATACACCGTTTCAGAGGAAATTAAAAAAAAACATGAAAATATAGTTCAATTATTTCTAGTTCTAAAAATTAAGAGGCGTTTGTTTCTATGGTAATAATTTCGATTTCATTTTTTGATAGATGACTATTATTGGACTATTATTAATTTTGACTAATGTCATATTTTTTGCGGTTGTTAAAGTATCACATTTTCCGATAACTATTATCACCTTTTTCGTAGCATTGAACTAAATCAATCTTGCGCTTCTTTAACATTTTAAATCTGCAAAAAATATTGTATTAATTAAAATTCTATCAATAATAATCTATCAAAGAATGAAATCGAAATTATATTTTGATTTTTAGGACTTATGAAAAAAATCAACAATATTTTCATGTTTTTTTAATTTTATCTAAAACGGTATGGAAATTTGGAAAAGTATCAACGGCATTAACCATTTTAAAACAAGCAACATTTTTTTATAAAGAATGCATTTTTCTCAAAATGCTAATAATAAAAAAGTTCTTCCTTTTCTAAAGACAATCCGGGGACATACTGTATAATAGCTTATTATTACTAGGTTTGGGAGATTTTATTGATACAGCCCTACCAGCTATTTGTAGAGCTTCACAGTGGTTGCCTGTAGAAGTACAAGCAACTCTAGCTCGCATGTGGGCAGGGCCTGGTAGGACAAATATACGAAATATTTTGCAAAATTTACAACAGTTAATTACGACACGAACGTACGGAACACCGTTTCATAGAGACTTTTTTATACAAGATGAAAATGTTATAACATCAGCCACAAAACTTGTGAAGGTAATTTGTGGATAATTCTTAAAACATTTAATTCTACCAAAATAGAGACTTGATGCTTTTTTCTGTTATTAACAAATTAATTTTACAGCCACTAACTTCCTAATTAAAACTTGACAAAAAGAATACTTCTGATATTATTAGATGTTAAAGTAAATAAAATGTTGCTTGAATCATGACTTAGCTTGATCACAGCTTATTCAGGTTGAAAGCTATCCCCGCCCATACATAAATTTTAGTAGAAATATTTTGTAACTCTAGCGACGATTTTTTTTTTCGTAAAGTGGTCCTACTAGTATTTACTACATTTTTTGTCTCTTGTAATAAAACGGCACATCGCATAGTTTTGAGAAAAAAGTTGAGAATTTTTCTTTCCAAAGAGGACCTACAAAATAGACAGAGAGTTCCAATATTCCGTGGATATGGAGCAACTACGTGTTTTTGATTCAAAATATATGTTAATTGGCCACAATTTACTTCCACAAAAGTGCTTCGTTTGTCCGTTAGGGCATCAAAAATAAATCCGTCTTAAGGTACATTCAGGCTGAGAGGGTCGAGCGTCGCGTCGCGTTTGCGTCGCGTCCGCGTGTCGAAATGAAATCAGTTCGCTTAACTTAAATTAGACCGTTCAGGCAGACAGCGTCGCGTTTGGCGTTGCGCTAGCGTCCGCTGAGCGTCGGGGTTCGAGTTCAATGAGGTGGACGCGACGCGACGCTCGACGCTCTCAGCCTGAATGTACCTTTAGTTCTTAACTAACGGGTCCTAAGAAATAATACCCAATAACATACCTAACCTAACCAAAACAAGCTCACTGTAAAGAAGAGATTTTGGTAGGCTGTTTTCTTGCATCCTGCATACGTGACCAGCCCATCTTAAGCGGGATTTAGTAATCGTGACTTCAGCGCTTCATATAGTCAAGGAATATTTATGATAGTAGCATTAGTAACATAACATTCCCATTTTTGTCATCTAGATTATTAGTACATACTAGATTTTATGCGCCTACATAGTTTGATATGACAAGAAATAATTTTCAGTCGGTTTCGGAAAAACATTTTTTTTTCTTAAAAGGTATGCGCGGCGGCGTTTTTTTGCAAGAGACCAAAAAAAATCTAGTAAATACTAGAAGATAGAAAGACTATTTCACGAAAAAAAAACTACCAAAATTTATGTAGGGGTGCGAGTAGTTTTTACCCTTCTCATATTTTTGCTTGTTTTTTTTTGTAAGGGTAAAAACATAGTAGAGCGACGGGGCTAGAGGCACAGCGACGAGGTAAGCGTCGCGGTTTGAATTCGATCGTGTATTGTAATGGAGGCAAACATAGTAAAGAGATTGCCGAAGCGTCAAGCGACGAGACAAGCGAGGAGATGCGCGTCGAGATAAAAATATGATTTCTTGTCGCGTTGACGCTGGAATGCGTGTGGCCTTTTTTCAGTTGACTGGTATTAAATAGGAGTACTGCTGGTATAGAGACAACATTTATCATTTGCAATGGCTGAGAATAATATAATAACATCCGTATTCAACAGACGTGCGTTATGGAATGCATCTCATCCAGACCACAGAAACCGCTATGCATTAGACGAACTTTGGGCAGAAGTGGCTAGAGAATGTGGAATAACAGGTAACACTGTCGGAGAACATTGTACAGCTGGTTCCAAAAAAAATGAATACGACTCTTTACACATTTTTTTAGAATATTTGGGCAGTGTATATTTATGTGTCAAGTATTTTGACATGTTAAGGTTATTGTGACATTGTATAAAACAACTTTGCTTTTGACAAAGTCGCAAATAAATTTTTCAGAACGTCAGTATGACATGAGTAGAGAAATGGGGGACTGGTATCATAGAATATACTGCCCGAAATAATAAAAATATGTTTTAAATTGTATTCAATTTTATTGGAACCAGCTGTACATACTGGTTTGAATTTGGAAAGTCGAGCAATAAATCGCAACTTTTGTCTCCTTGTGCGTGTCTCCTATCGCGTCGCTTATCTTGTCTCTTACCTCGTCGCTGTGCCTCTAGCCTCGTCGCTCCACTATGTTTTTACCCTAAAAGTCAAATGTTAAAGCGCTTAGCAAAACATAGGCACCCCAAATCTCATTTAAATCGGAATAACAGTCCTTAAAATATCTTAAAAATGTGTTTATTCCTTTAAAGTTTGATGCCCTTTACCGGACAAACAAACTAAGCACTTTTTTATAGAGGTAGATTGTGTCCATTGAACTTATTTTGATTCCAAAAATACGCAGTAGTTCTATGTCCACGGAATATTGGGACACCCTGTATACATTAAAAAATATAGATAATAAAGATAAACTATTAAAAATCAAAATATTCTAAATACGGATATTGTCTATTGTCTAGATATATTTTGTAAGTCACAGTGTTATCATACACTATTGTTATTATTTGGATGTTGTCTCTTGCAATCGTTTCTCCTATCGTTGGACATATTTTAACTGGTACTAAATGGGTCTAGTATGCTGTCTAGTAGAGTGCTGTCTTGACTAGCAAGTATAAAATTGTACTTTCATATCTGCCTTACTTTAGTATGTGTTTAAGTTTAACAAAAAGAAAATAAAATACTACGCAGAAATTATTAGCATGCTGATTTATTATTTTTAAAAAATAATGTAATTGTATTAATGAATTATACTAGCCCTGGTCACTTCATCTGCGTGGTCTGTATTTTAATGCAGGCGACAGAGATAAATATAAGTGACCGGTTGACAAACAGAGAGACAAAATAAAGAGCGGCATTCAGTGTTGCCGGTTTTTGCGTTTGTAGGAAAACGTGTGTAGAAAAAAATAAACTTTTTTAAAAGCTTTCATGTATACTACTGAAATGAAGATAATATATCTAAGCTAAATATCTATGACAGCTGTAGTAAAATGAGTAACTAGTCGTGAAAAATAATGTTCCAACCCTAGATGCAACATTTTTCATAAATTGTGCGGTTTCAAATTTTGATTCAAAATCCGGCAATACCGCATAGAAGAAATGTACCAACCCAACTTTTATCTCTTTTTAATACATTTAATTTTCCATTAAGCTGTCGACATTACTGTCTTACACGTTAAAATTCAGACCACACAGTTTCGTGACCAGATCGGTTAGGTTGTATATTTACTAGTCTGAATGCAATGTTTTAGATACTTTATTATGGAAATATGTTAGCTGGAGTACTGGAATCTCCTTCTTTAAGGTATACAGATGAAATGAGCGATTCTATGGATGAATCGTTTTTAGCAGTTAAGCTTAAAAAGAATATCACTCCCGAGGACCCGTTAGCTAAAATCCTCGGTATTCACGTTTTAGACTGCAGAAAGCCATACTTGCCGTTTAATGAGTTTTATAATGAGCCACTTAGTGACTTGGTAGAGATGGACCGGGACTTTGCAAATTATAAAAGTGAACTAGGTATGTCAGGACTAAATAAATCTTAACTCGTTAATAATTTGCACTCTTTGTAGGAATTTTTTCAGGGAAATTTAGTTTTATGAATTACCCGTTTATTTTAACTCCCGCAACAAAAACAATGGGCTTATATTTCGATAATCGAATTAGGATGTATTCTGAACGAAGGATTAGTCTCTTACAAGCAGTCTCTGGTCACCCTTCTCCATCCAATCCGTATTTGCGATTAAAAGTTCGGAGGGATAATATTATAGATGACGCCTTAGTAGAAGTGAGTTGTTAATTTAAGTACTCCTTCCTTCATGTGAAAACGGGATAAAATAGATTGTAGACGACATTACGGCATTTTGTAAACCACTGAACATTGTTTCTAGTGTTGTGGATAACCAGGCGTCATTTCATTAATTTCTTTACTGTCATTTCACTTTTGTGGTGATGATTTTGTTGACGAATATCGATCTGTATCAAAATTAAAAATTGACTGCACTGTCAAACATTCAAATTAAAAAATGAACCAATTTGTTACTAAAATTGTTATTACTATATTTGGTATATGCGGCTCAAATTATAAATTGAAAGAACCAAAATTAATAAAGGACAAACATACCTACGTGAAATTAATAAAATCGGGACGCGTTTAGTTACTAATTCGGAACGAACTTTAAATTTCCTGAAAGATATGAAGTGATCTCAGATATTCAAAAACGGATATTATATAAATAATGACGTAACGTTCCGTGACATTACGGCCAAAGTCTGTCTAACAAGAGTATTGTTGAATAAATATGTATTGTATATTGTATAAATATATTGTATTAGTAAATTGAATTTTCTGTCATTTTCTGGATATCGTCTGTCGAAATCTTCCATGACTTATTAGACATACTTTATATATTGTTTATTCATAATCTATTACAGTTGGAGATGATATCAATGGAAAATCCTAATGATTTAAAAAAGCAATTAGTGGTTGAGTTTGAGGGTGAGCAGGGTATAGATGAAGGTGGAGTATCAAAGGAATTTTTCCAACTAGTCATAGAAGAGATATTTAATCCTGATTACGCAATGTTTACAATGCAGAATGAAACACAAACTGTTTGGTTTAATCCAACTAGTTTTGAAAGTTCAGCTCAATTTACGTTAATAGGTATGAATAATAAAAGTGAAAATATTCAGTATTATCATAAATATAATATTACCATACGATCAAAATAAAAAATGGCGTCCCAGTAGCTTTGGAAAAGACTATCGTTAATAATTTCTGTCAGACACAAGAATGGCCATAAAACAGCGAGACCGCAAAATCATCAGACCGGTAGAAAATTCCACTAAGACAGAGGCAGACCTTATATAAGCAAAATAAAACTATCAAAAGTTCAAGACAGGAAAATTGTAGTTGGTCTTCTCAACAGGGCATTGCAAGCTCAATAGGAATTTAAAGCGAATGGGATTGACAGCCAAAGTGAAGTGCAGATTCAGTCAATCAGAAGAAGAAACGGCAGAGCACATTCCATGTCAGTGCAATAGCCTGACGAATATGTTCTTTGTACTAGGGAATGGTAAGTCATTGGCAAAGAGCTATATGGGAGGTTCATTTTCTAAGTTTACACATTTTGAAATTGATACTACTTCAAACTTCAAAATATATCTTAGAGAAAAGGAGAAGTGAAAAAAAAAATCTGTGAAGGTTGGAGTGGAATAGGCCCATAGTCTAGTAATATTTGAAAATATATTTGTGTATGGAAACTTGTTAATAATAATATCTCTTTCATATATGTACAGCTTTTCAACAACTCTCTGTTAATGGCCTCTATCATTGCCTCTTACCGAGAACCGCACAGCGAGGCTCTCGCACCGACAAAAAAGTGTTCTGTCGTTTCTTCTTCAGATTGACAGAACCTACCTAAAAGTTCTGTGCCTATGAATGGCATTGATGCGCCTTGTGTGGCCATTTCATTTGCCTTTTCGTTACCCTTGTGACCCTCGTGCCCAGGCTAGCGTAACATTGCTACGCTTATCCAAAGTATTTAGGACACACACACAATCCCACACTAGTCTATGACATAAGAGAGTCGGTGCTGCAGAAATTATCAATTATTATTATTAATTATCATTTCAAAAGCTGTGACAGACGCCGTTTTTTTTTTCGATAACGTATTATAATCTCAATATATTTAAAGGATGGAATACGTTTTTCCTATTTTATAAGATTTATATAAAAAGAAATTTATTTTTTTTAGGAATTGTCTTGGGTTTGGCCATATATAATAATGTGATATTGGCTGTTAATTTTCCTATGGTTTTATATAGAAAGTTAATGGGTAGGAAAGGGTCTTTTGAAGATTTATTAGACTGGAATCCTGTATGTATTATTTATCAATTGTCTTAGATTAGTGATGAATAAACCATTTCCAGGTATTATATAGTAGTTTAAAACAAATGTTAGAGTACCCCGATCCAAATTTAGAGGATGTGTTCATGCAAACATTTAGAATAAGCTACCAAGATGTGTTCGGGACCATTATAAATTATGATTTAGTAGACAAAGGACATAAAATACCTGTAACCCAGGAAAATAAATACGTTAGTATTATTATAGTTATAAAATCTTATAATATCATCGTATTTATGACAATTAACATTTTAGGAATTCGTTGACTTATATGCGGATTTCTTATTAAACAAGTCGGTAGAGAAACAATTTAGAGCTTTTTATAAAGGTTTCCAAATGGTTGTAGATGAATCGCCTTTAGAACAGCTATTCCGTCCTGAAGAAATTGAATTACTTATTTGTGGTAGTAAAGTAAGTTACCTTCCTCTTATACAGCGTATGTCAAGAAGTTTACAACAAATGGAAACTATTGATATGGATAATTGGAAATTTTTGATATTATTGTGTTATTAAAAAAAAGTTTATAGGAATTACTTCAGTATACCCAATAACAAAAAAATGTCAATTTGACTATATTCTCTACGTGTGCAAAAAGTAGGATTAGATGACAGAATATCGAAAACTGAGAAAAGTTGTTCAGTTATGTTAAATGTTAAATACACAGGAACTTGTGTATAGGATACACGGCATAAAATAAAAGAGATGTCATTTCCATAGTCAAAAGTAGGCAACACGTTTAGCCAGGATCGATAGTAGCGCACCCTGGAGCCCTAACTGAACCAATGGAAACATGACAGACGTAATCGGTAAAATAGGTACCTGTATTGCTTACGTAGCACGAAAAAGGCGGGCAGTTTAAATGTTTAAATCACATCGTTGGCTGAACAAAATATTAAATAAAATAACTTAAAAACCGCGAACGCCACATAAAACGGCAAAACATATAACACAAAACATAAAGTTCAAGTCATAGAGAAATATAGTGTCTCGGATATAGGTTTATATTGACAGGATTTTATAGTGAGATAAGTTCACAGCCATGTTGCCAGGAGTGGCACCTCAATGGAGAGACTGATGGTGGAGGGGAAGGCGATCACCTGGAAGGTCACCTAAGAGGTGGGTAGACCAAGTCAAGACCCTAGTGAGCCACAGCCTGCCTGAAGCCTTACATATGCGCAGTGTCGAACAACTTGGTCCAAGGAAGTGAGGGGAATCAATACATGATGTGACCATACTCTCACGTAGGGTGAAGGACTGAAGAGAGATATAAGTTCATGCATAATTTCTCTAAGCGCAAAATACACAAACAAAGAATATATTACATGAAGTTCAATTGTTAATTTGCCGTTATGTCACTTGTCAATCTTGTCATGACGTGACGAGCAGGTGGCGACGCCCTAACTGAGCTATGCAATATTATGGCCAAGTTAGACAACCTCTCGAATACTCTTTTATTGTAGTTTATCTATGATATACAGTATGTCCCTGGATTATTTTTAACTGAGAATTTTTTTATTAACTTTTTGAGAAAACATTCATAAAAGATTTAGTTTGTTCTAAAATGTCAGTCCCGTTTATACTATCCCAAATTTTTATACCGTCTTAGAGAAAATAAAAAGAAGAAGAAATCCTGTTTTTGACTCTTTCCAGAAAATTATGGAGATATTGTTGGTAGTCTCTGTATATTTATGAAATTTTCTACGTAGATATAAAATTAAATTTTCACAAGCATATTGCCGCTCTGACTTTTCGATATTTTTACCGCCCAAACCCCACAATTATGACGGTTATTGTTGCATATTATCAAAATGTGTAGATTTGTTATTGGGTATGCAGAAGTAGTTCCACAACTTTTTTTTTTCGATAACCCAGTAATAATAAAAAAAAGTACACCCTGTATGATAACGTAACTTAGTGAGATTTTCTGTTAATATCAATATTTTTTTATAACAAGAAATGTTGATTGTTTTTAGCAACAATTGAAGTTAAAGTTATTATTAACTATTTGAATTTTAGAACTTTGATTTTGATGAACTGGAAAAGTCAACTGAATACGACGGGGGTTACTCAAATGAATCGCAAATAATCAAAGACTTTTGGTCACTTGTCCATGCATTTTCTTTAGAAGACAAAAGAAAACTTTTACAATTCACCACCGGTTCAGACAGAGTGCCAATAGGAGGTCTAAGTAGGTTAAAATTAGTGATAGCCAAGAACGGACCAGATTCGGACAGATTACCTACCGCTCATACTTGCTTTAACGTCTTATTATTACCCGAATACAGTTCAAAAGATAAATTAAAAGATAGACTAGTAAAAGCTATAAACTATTCAAAGGGTTTTGGCATGTTATAAAATATATTGCTTGTGATTTATTTACTTTAGTTATGGCAGTTGTGAGAATTACTAACTGTAATTATTGTTTGTGTAAGGTAATTTAAATTGTATTCGTTTTATCTAATAAAAAATCTTTTTATTACAAACAGCTCTGTTCTATATTAATATATCCTTAATTCAAAATATAGAAACAGAAGTCCCAAGTATCTTGTGTCTGGGACTTCATTATAAAAGGATGATTTTATTAAAAAAAAAATTAAGATGGAAGCTTATTCAGGGTGTCAGTGAAATAAGTTAAAAATTTCGAATGGTGAATTATTTTTCTTTATTTCAACATATGACAGCCTGTATGGTAACGCTATGACTAAAGCTTGATTTTCATGCGTCCATTATCCGTTGATACGATAGTCCGACGGCGCTCTGATTGGTCATAGCGTTTTCGCGCCACTTTTCATCCGTAAATTTTTTACTCCAGCCTGTCAACGGAGAAAGATCGTACGATAACGGACGTTTTGACCAGTTTTATCTAACCTTACTAAAAATATAATAGTACAAGAGCTAGCACCGGCGGGAAAACGAGGATTTTAAGAAAGCTAGTTCTTTAGTACATCTTTTGCTATGCTCTTCTGGCCAAAGCGCGGATCATCTGGCTGCCGGTAGACTACTGCGGTTTACTACTGCGCATCAAATCTGGACAGGATATCCCATTTTCGTGTGTTTTATGGGATTTCTCGTTTATGAGTGGAGATACAATGATGCGATTTTCACATTACTTTGCTACTTTTTTATGAAACTAAATATGCTACACATAGGTTTGTCCTAGCCTCCTTAGTTCATGAAATACAATGCAAATTTGGTATGCGTAGTGAACAGATATTGAATACAGATATGATGCGCAGTAGTGAACGCAACGTCTACCTGCATCCAGACGGCCCGCACTCTCTTCAGGAGAGTATAGCAAAAGATATATTAAAGAACCAGTTTTCTTAAAATTCTCTCTCGCAAACGTTGCTAGCTCTTAGACTATAAGTAAAACAGCGAAATCGTTATGGAAATGAAAATATAAAATGACATCAATCACAAGCAAATCGTATATCCGATGAACGAAGGCATTGAAATTCAGAACCTGCGTAATTTATAGAAAAAAAAATTAAAAACTTCGTAATTTTCGAACCAATCGAAATCTTTAAATTCAACCAATAAAATTATCTAATATTAATATCGTATCATCGTATCGTCGATGCATGAAAATCAAGCTTAAATCAAAAAATACCTAGACAGTTAGACAGTGGAAAAAATGTGTTCCATGCTGGATGGTATTATGGTCTGCAATAAGAATTTTAAGATATAAGATCCAAGGTAGTGTACAAACCAATCATGGTACTCTATATACAAAGTTCAATAATTTTACCTCAAGCTTGTAGATATTAGAGTATCGGAATTGGTTTTCCCACTACTTTAGAGACACAATGGCGGATATTCCTGAGATGCCGTCATGCATCTGAGGAAATGCAAGACTCCTAGAAGGCTAGTACGTGAGGTATAAGCCGATCTACTCATGAAGAGAGGCAACAAACCAATGCGTAAGACAGAAACCGAGGGGTTTATCACTTGGGTAACCAAAATTCTAAAAATATTTCTAGGCTTACTGTGATGCCGTTTTCATGTGTTGCATTCTACAGGGTGTTTCAAAAAACGTGCCATCTCTCGTGGGGAGATTCCTCACGTAAAAATACATTTATTTTTCATATTAACATAGGTCCGATTCTGCTTTGTTTCACACTTTTTAGCATTAAAATATGTCGCATTTATAGCAACTTTTGCCCTTAAAATTTCATTGGAATCGCTAAAAGTACTTACAAGAAAATTATAATAAAGCGAAAAAAAAATTAAGACAACACACTGCGGCCACGAAACAAAGCAGAATCCTATGTTGATATGAAAAAAAAATCTTACTTTTGCGTTAGGAATCTCCTCACGAGAGATGGCACATGTTTTTTGAAATAGCCTGTATAAAATTGCTGTCCTCCATTCGCGAACTTCAAGTTCCAGTGCTTTACGCCCTGGGCTACTCGAGAACGGTTCTGAAAGGAGCTGTGTGCAATAGCCTGGTGCCTTCATATGGTGCGGAACAGTTCTGAACTTTATGACTCAATTGAATGGAGTGAGAGTATCGCGTTCTTGAACAGTTCAGAGCTGCACAACTGCGTGAATGGAGGACAGCAATTAAATGATTTTCATTTCCTCCAAAACAAATTCCCTGTGGACACTTTTCGCTACTAACCACCAAATCTGGTGTTGATTTAACCTAACGTAGATTGCAATATCTTAATGTCTCTTTTATTTCACCAATATGTGAAATTTTAGACACCTGCATGGTCCCTAATATGTTTTTATCTTCATTTTTATTTATATTTCTTAGAAAAATAGGAATTATAATAAAACATTTATTTAAGGGGAACATTTTATTATTCTATTGCAATATAACTAATAAACATTATTCTAAAAAATTACAAACTATAAAGTTGTACGTTTCAGTTTTCATCTTGTAAATTCCTTATCACTCGTGTATACACATACACTTAGTAGCTTCCACCAAAAAAATAAAAGAAAATAATGGAAATTGTCTTTAGAACTAGGATTTAAAGAAACTGATAACACTATCTTCTTTAAGCAAAACCAAATTTCATTTCATGAAAATATTATACAAGGAAAACGTGAATTATGGCACAGACTTATTAATTTTTAGAATGTTTTTAATGAGATGAAAATGCAATAATCCTAGTTTTGAAAAGTAAACAGATTAGAGTTTTGCAATATTAAATACAATACCTGAGATTTTTCACATTGTATGCCGTTTCTTTTAGACATTAAATACAAACTCTCTAAAATATTACAAAACAAGAAACACAAAGTTAAAAATGTGAGGAAACGATTACATTTACGATTTTTTTACACAATTTTAAAACACAAATTAACATCAAATATCATGAGCATATTTCAGGCCAATTAAGGGAATTCTATTTTTTCCATTTTTATATAAAACATTTTTATCACAGACTTCTTAAGTTTATTTGTCGTTTTTTCCTTCTAATAATAACCATGATAGAGTGATTGAATTAAGTAGTGCTTACTAGAGTGCCAATACGTTTTAAAGCAAATACGAAGTTTAGATAGAAGAACATAATATAGCGTAAGATATACAACTACATGTACCACATTCAGTTTTCTACCTTTTGGATGATTTCCTATACTAAGCAAGGCCATTTAAGATTCCCTTAACCGACCTAATTAACAAAAAAGACACATTAGGATAAAATTAAGGTAAAAGTTAACCTCTACTTTTAGTAGGAAGCACATCAACAATTAGTACACTTAGGGCAGTCAGATCTGTGTGCTGAATCTAGGTTGTGGTAATTCGCCAAAAATAGTGTCACCATGTACACTGCGCGCCAAAGCTTTAATGCTGGCTGCTATATCAATTTCATTGTTAGGCGACTGAAATTATAATATTAATTTAAAATTAATTATTACAAATTTGTACAATACTTATAGTTGTTTGAGGTTTAACGATTTTAAACAAGCCGTTAAGGTAAAGAAAGGTAAGTCAATAGAATTGTGCGCCAGAGTTTTAAAAAAGTTGAGTTGTGTATTATAAAGGCAGGCGGCCACTGCTCAAGGACTGTATATATTCTAAGGATGCTTACGTCACGCAGGGACCAGCGCTCCACAGTACGGCGGATGGTTATTCGAGTGGGACAAAATCTCAGGAGCCATGTTTGGGACTTAAAATCTAAGAACGTAGCAAATGGTCTAATATATCATATGGCATATAATAGCAACTATATGGTTAAATTTATTTATTTATTAAAAACTTAATTTATTAATAAATAGTTAAGGCTTCAAAGTTAAGGCTTCAACAATTACAGCAGCATCCTTGCTCCTTACTACCACTAGCCCTAAAGCTCATAGTACTTGCAAAACCCAATTCTTCTTTTGAATGCCCTTCAATTAACCCTTTAACGAGTCTTTGTTTCGTTTTTATACCATCCGATCCAACAAAGGCACAAAGGATTTTAACAAATAATATACCTACAGTAGAAAAATACATACCTTTGACAATCTTCAACATAATTTGGCTTATAATAAAATGTATAAGCACTTTTAAATATTTTGTTTTCGTATGATCTCTGCCTTGCTGAGCAGGAAACGATCAAATTTGGTTGATAAAAATGTATCGAAATACAAAGAATATATACGACCAAAAAATAAGTCATGCTTTTTTATATCAATTGGAATGTCTACTATTTATTCTTATCAGTACACATTTTTGGCTTATTTCTAATCAAACGGTTTTGTCTCGCTAGATTTAACTTCCGCGGCACTGTGCGCTCGTCCGTTAAACGCAAAAATAACTGTCACTGTCTAAAGTCTTTAGCGCGAACTTCAACTCGGTCCCTAGAAAACGTAAAAAAACTGACAGTGCAGGAAGATAGGAACCGAACTATCCTTATCTCTATAGTATCCTTGGCCACTGCCAGCATAACTAAACTAAGCTAAGAATATAAAAACAAACGGGAACTAAACGAAAATAAGTTTCATCGGCCACTGGGAACGATTTTTGCTCAGTAGTCAGCTAAGTTAGCTGCGTTTTCGTATTGTGTCTTTGCTATCATATAATCGAAAGCAGCGAAAAATTCGCTGGAAGAACGTGTCAAACTAAAACGAGCGAAACTAAACTACGATTTGAATCTTCGTTCATATATTTTCGTTTAGTTTCGCTCAAGTGGCCGCTGATGCATTTAAAAGTATGGGAGCTGATTTTTACAAATCTTATCTTCGCTTGGCTTAGTTTAGTTTCGCTCTCAGTGGCCGCCCGCCTTAATAGTTGTGTAGTTATAATTTGTGGAATTTTCTGTTGAAATACAAAGTTTCAACCGTAAAGCTGGATTTATAAACACGGGAGTTGACGTTCAGTTGCAGTTGGATGTCCGTGGCAGTTGAGGTTCAAAATTTTTGCATTTATAAACTGTCAGTTTCGGTTGTAGGTTAGGTTTTGAATTGTGAAAATTTCGAACGTTTTTCTTTCGATTTAAAAATACTTTTGATATTTTCCAATTGAAGTTCTAACATAATAATCCAAGACTGCGCAAAATATAAACATTATATAAACAGAAATAATGAAACAACAATAAAGGTAAAATTCCAATGCATCTCTTTTCTGTGCTTCACGTGATTGACAGGCGCTTACTGGTTGGCTGCCGTTCCAACTGCCAAACGACAAGAACTGACGACTGAAATATTGACCATTTCTGAACTCCCCTGAACGTAAAAAGATCTGCCAACTTTTCGACCAACTGACTTTATAAATGCTCGTGATGAACATTTTGAACGTCAACTGACCTTCAACTGGCGAGTTTATAAATCCAGCTTAAACCTATTAAGGCACATTTTAAAATAATCAATTATGTTCACGTTATGGTGTTCTGATTATTCTGATAGTTATAGGTAACCTATTTAATTTAATTTAATGACACACGGTAATGTAAACCATTATTCCAGGTAACAATTACTCTACTTTATGTTAAAGGAAAACATTATATTGAAACAGAAAACAAACAAAAAAGACAGAAGCGCCTTCTCTTGAAGTCTCGCTAATTTTGTTTACATATTCCTTTTTTAGTCTTTTGTTTAATGATTTGGGATAAATTCAGGGGCGTGCGTTTTCTCCCAATTTAGAGTAAAAACCTCGCAATTAGAGGAATAAATTAGTGGTTTCAATTACACTTTATACTTTTTAGTTTACGATCATTAACAATGTCTAAAAAACGAATTAAAATTATTAGAATATCCTAGTAACAGCTTGCGGTAGTCAGTTGTATCCATAGAGAAAGCCTAATATTTAGCTTATAAAACAATAAACATTTGATTTCTAAGCAAATTTCTCTTGACGGGTGATAATCAAAGGTCAAAATGACATTCCTCGCAAGTTTTGAAGCATAATTAGTGGGAAACTTAAAAGTTTGTTAACTTTTTCCACTAATTGCAGATTACTACCACTAATTTTAACTGTTGTGAATGCTTACAGTGATTTTAGAGGAACAAACTTCTACTTTAATTGAAATAATTGATTTATTCTATTAATTTTGAGGTTCTGAATGAAGCTTAAAAAATAATTATATTGATTACTTAAATATTTATGCTACGTTTATTTTATTATTTTGCCAATATTTACTACCCTGTCTACCCTGCTTTGATAATTTTTATTTGATAGTAATTTAACTATTTTTTTAATTGAATAATAATAATTTTCTTAATTTGCAAATTTTACTTCTTGTATTTGTTAAAATATTATAACTTTTTTCATTCCTCATAAAAAGTTCGATGGTTTGTTTAATATCCGACGATGTAGGTTTTCTCAAAATACAGCTAAACAATTAACAAAAATTCCATATTTTAAAATATAATTACTTGATTATATCAACGATAATTGAATTGACGGTAGTTTAAACTTACAATCAATATAAAAATGAAATAAAAATGATTTTACTTACAAAATCTGAATCATCATCCCCACGACTGTTCTTGGTTCTTGAAACTGGAGAAAATGTTGGTATGTCAACGGGACAGGATTTGGCCAAGCTACCTGATGAGCGACTATGTTTTCCTTGAAAGATACTTATTCCAGCTGCCTCATTAACTACATCTAAATTGCAATTCAATTAAAAATAAAATAAAACACCAGTTTCATATATGTTCTGAATACTTACTGAAAATTCCGCACAGAATGCAAAAAAACAGAGAAGAAATTATGAATTCTTATAGTATGTCATTAAAGACATTTAAAAATAAATATGTATATAATACCTTCTGCTTCTTCGACTTCATCACTTTCACTGTCATCTAAGTTTCGATTTCTGAATGAATCGCCTTCAATTGTGTACTCCTCTGATTCAAAATTAAACTGCAGATCGTCTCTATAATCTTGGTTGCTTTTTGGAAAAGAATCAATACCCTTTGGCCTCTTTGGTGAAAACGGAATATGCTTAAAAAATTCTAGTTTTAGAAGAGGGGTAAATAAATTAGTGCGAATGAAAAGCAGGTGATACCTTTTTTAAAAGTAATCGGTTTTTTTATCTTAAAATTTTCAGTTTGACATTTCTCTAAAAATATATTTACTGTCTGCGATCGTTACTGCAATCGCCTTTGAGAAAAAAGATTAACAAACGAGTATAATGCTATCCATGTATTCTTGCATGGTAGATGGAGGCGGGGACCTAAGGTGGGTATCCTTGACAGTTCTGTTTGCCGTTTCATTTGACACGTTTGAATTTGATTTGAAATTTTGTGGATTTGTTTGTCTTTACTGAGCTTATTTTATGTTATTTATTACTTGCTCTACAACTGGTAGTTGTTTAGAGGTACTAAATCTAAAAGGAAATTGTTGTAAGAACTTAAATTAACAGTGGTACTATTGCGATTTATCGAAAAAGACTGTAAAATAATTGGTTGTGTAGCGTGCGGTAGTCGCGGTAAAAAATAGGAAAAAATTATAGAATATCTTTTCACTGGTAAGTGACTACACACTAGGGTGTCTGTTATTTCCCAAGTTGATATTTTTTTTGGTGTCGCCCTCTGAAGTTTTAGTTTTTGGTCTAAAAAAAATTATCCAACGTAAAAAAGCTCTAAATTTTTAATTTAAACCATGCCGGAATCATGATACTTTTCATTTAAATAACATGAGATTTTCTGACCTTTTGCATTTAATTTTTTATCTCCAAAGCAAATGAACCTACAGCTTCGACAAAGACATATTCTAATAGAAAATTAGCTCTACAAAAAAGGTCTCTTTGGTTTTTTCCATAAAAACATCATTTTGTTTGTGAGGGGGACAACATTTGCTCCAAAAATGATTGCAAAATCTTCAACCCTCTAAGCGGGGGTAAATCTCCCCAACCTTTTTTCAAATGGGAAGGGGGGTCAAGTGGTGCCGCAATGAAAAGAGCTTTCTATTCTCTATATTTCCCCGCCTCGTTTTTGAAGATCTTTGAGAAAATATGAAGGATTGAAATTTGAAAAGTTTATTTAAACATTTTTCAGAGTAAATGATAAGGATAAATTCCTTTTACCAATTTGCTGTTTTTTCTTATTATTTCTAGATGTTTACGGTGCGATAGTTGCGATAGCTAGGTGCGATAGTTTCTAGGTGCGATAGTTGCTAGATAGCTGTTATGTGACTTGTGCGTTGAAGTTCTCAATATCGTTAAACTGACCCACAACAGAATTTCCAAAAATACCAGCCCACACATCCAATTTCTGAGAAATTTCCCATCCGAAAAACACACATTAAATAGGAAATTATTATCATTCGCCACTTGTTTACTCATAGTTTCACAAAATTGCAGGCTTCTATCAAAATCGTCTTCGTTGAGTTCTTGTACCTACTGAATTTTGTACGGGTGGAACTTGTATTTTTTTAATATCCTTTGGACACTTGTACGATTCACGCCGGTCTCATTGGCTAAGTTTCTTGTACTCAGCGTACTATCCATGGCAACTTGGCCCAATACGAATACCTCCATAGCTTCATTTTCTACAGGATTTTCCCTCTGCCTCTTTTTATTCATAACGGAACCGGTTTCGCGAAATTTTGCTACTAACTCGCGAACAATTTTGCCATAATGGTGTTTGTCAGGATGGCGTTCATTGAATATCTGCGCAACCCGATTGCCACATTCAATATTTTTAAAATAAAGTTCGATTATTTCCACTTTTTCTGCAAGTGAGTCCACCATAATTGTTAAAAATTTTAACGATATTGAGAAGAACAACGCATAAGTCACAGAACAGCTATCTAGCAACTACCGCACCTGATCGTTCAACCTTGTGACAAGTGAAAAAATGCGTAAACATCTAGAAATAATAAGAAAAAAAAGCAAATCGGTCGAAGGAATTTATCCTTATCGTTTACTCTGATAAATGTTTAAATAAACTTTTCAAATTTCAATCCTTCATATTTTCTCAATGACTCGACCGATTTTCAAAAACGAAGCCGGAAAGTATAGAGAATAGAAAGCCCTTTCCATTGCGGTACCACTTTACCCCGCTTCCCATTTGAAAAAAATTGGGGGATCACACCGCCGCTTAGAGGGTTGAAGATTTTGCAATCATTTTTGGGGCAAAAGTTGTCCCCCTCAGAAACAAAATTGACGTGTTTTTGAATTTTCTGAAAAAAAAAATTACCCTGGCCGTTATGCCTTGCGGAACATTTTCGATAGGCCACCCTATATTATATAGTCACTTACTAGCGAAAAGTTGTTCCATTATTTCACTCGATTTTTACCGAGATTTAACGCACGCTACACAACCAACTATTTTAGAGTCTTTTTCGATAAATCGCGATAGTGTCACTGTTAATTTAAGTTCTGCCGCAATTTCCATCTAGATTTACTACCTTTATACAACTATCAGTAGTAGAATAAAAAAAATAACAAAATAAGCTCCGTAAAGACTGACAAATCCACAAAATGTCAAATCAAATTCAAATGTGTCAAATGAATCGTCAAACAGAACTGTCAAGGATCCCCACCCTAGAGTCCTTTTTCCGCCCACCACGCGTGAATACATGGATATAGTAAACGCCACGAATGTTTGGGAGTGATTCATCGCTTGATGAAGTTAGAATCGATACGCACGCTATCATTTTTACATTAAAAACGTAAATTTTTACCACAGACGTAGGTTTTTAAAGGCCCGCCCCGGTCTAATCATCTGCCTGCGCTCATCCTACTTATTCTAAAATGTTAGCGTGATTGACAAAGACGATACTATATCGCGTTTCTTTGATTGATTCGTTTTTGTGCGTCAGTCCATTGGTGTGCTTGCAATGCGACCAATGGGGCATTCCATTTTATATTTATAACCAAATATATGTTTTGACAAGACTTTGACAGTTAAAACAACAAATTACAACAGATTATATATTGATTATTATATGACTTGAAACACCACGGCACTGGAATTAAGTTTTATGTGACCTTGAACAGATTAGTTCACATGGTAGCGACCGATCTTTGCGACCGATGAATCACTCCCAAACATTCGTGGCGTTTACTATAGCATTATGCTCCTTCCTTAAGCTTGATTTTCATGCATCCGTTGTCCGACGATACGATATTCATTTTATTGGTTGAATTTAAAGACTTCGACTGGTTAACCGTTTCTAACCAATTGAAGTCTTTAAAGTCAACCAATAAAATTAATATCGGACCATCGTATCAACGGATAACGGACGCATGAAAATCAAGCTTTAGTTTTCTTATTCAAAGGTTTTTCAGTGTTTGTATATAACTATGTGTGTCAATTGAAAAGAATAAACAAATTTCGAGTGGTTTTTATCTTAAATATTACTTGTACCGAATTAATTAAATTAAATTATTAATTAATTTATTTAAATTAAATGATTAATTAATTTATTTAAATTAAATGATTAATTAATTAAATTAAATTAAATTAAATTATTAATTAATTACGTTAAGTTAATGAAGATAATTCGATACAAGTAATATTTAGGATAAAAACCACTCGAAATTTGTTCATTCTTTTCAACTGACACACATGTATTTACGAACACTGATAGGCATCTGATAGGCAATGAAACAATAACCTTAAATTATAGTTTTGATTAATTGATCATAGATGGCGCAATATTAGTTTTCCATATTAAAGTTGGTAAAGAAATATTGTTTTATTGAAAAAAGTATGGCTCTAGATCCTTTTTTAGTCAAAATAAAAAGACGCAATTAAAATTGGCAGTGAATGAATTTGATAATTTGATTATAAACTATGTGCATAACTTTGACCGCGAATAACTTTTAAAGGAACGCTTTTATAGAAAAAACCAAAGAGACCTTTTGTGTAGAGCGCCTGTACCTCTACGCCACCGGGCACCTTGTTATTAAATAATTATTATAACTTATCTATTTTTATTAGAATTATACTCGGAATTATATATTTTTATAACAATTTTAATAACTACCAACATTTATTGGCAACGTAAAATTAAACAACAAATTATTGAGTCTACCCTACAGTCAATTTTTGTACGTTTTGAATAACATAGAACGACACTGATAACCAGAATTCCGCCATTTTAGGTCCCCGTCGCGTTCGATCTAAGTTTTTTAATATGCTGCTTCTTCAATCTTTTTAATCAAAGGTTCTGCGATCATCTATGGCGATCGTTAAAGGTTATGTCATTATTATTCTAATATGCGCTTCAAGGTGTGAGATCAGTTCATATTGTTCCGTTTTTATTAAATTCATGTTACGCCTTTATTCATTTTGATTGTCTTTCAATTAAAGGCGTGGCTGCAATAACCAGGCAGCTTCATTTTAATAAATTTGTGGGAAATCGAAAAAGAGCTGCTCGGTTGTCGCTGCAAACCCAGCGCAAGGCAGCTTCAACTAAAGTCGCCATTTATGTACTGTTATACCGGGTGCGTCTCAAAAGTGGCTCACCCCTATAACTTTTTTTATTTTCGAATAAAAAAACGAGATTTGGTATGTTAGTATATGACATAAATTAGGGTTGATTGACGTATTCAATTGTTTTTGGTCACTTCCTTTTTCACCGGAAATGACTACAACTTTTTGTTTTTAAATGGCACCTTCGCTATATTTCTACTTTATTCAATAGAAAATGACACTCTGAATAGAATGACATATCATATGTCAACTTTTGATATTCTCGCTTAATAAATCGTATTTTAAAATTCAATCTAAAGTGCCATGGCTATGTTAAAATCACTAATTCTTAATCAAGGAGCCTTGGAAAAATAGATTTGATCGTCTAATGTTTTTAGTATCTTATCCTGGCCAGTTAGAAAATGCTGAAATCGTATTTTTAATCATATCTTAATTTTTTCAAATGGAACGAGGGTGGCTCATTAGCATATTTAGAAAAAAAAATTTTTTACGAATAATTTGATACAAGTTATAATTTTAAATAAACCATATGCAAAAATGTCAAAAGTTGACATATGATATGTCATTCTATTCAGAGTGTTATTTTCTATCGAAGAAAGTAAAAAAATACCGTGGGTGCCATTTAAAAATCAAAAGTTGTAGTCGTTTCCGGTGAAACAGGAAGTGACCGAAAACAATTGAGTACATCAATCAATCCCAATTTCTGTCATATAGTAACATACCAAATCTCGTTTTTTTAACGGAAAAAAAAAGTTATAGGAGTGAGCCACTTTTGAGACGCACCCGGTATTGAGAAAACTGATTGTTTCAGGAAACGATAGGCCAATTTTGTTTAAAGAGGAATTCATTAAATATCTAATTTTCAATAAAAAGTGGAGCTGCCTGGTTATTGCAGCCACCCCTTCAATTTATAGTTAGGCGCATATACCAGTTTTTTTAGGTAAATTGTACCTATTTTAAAAATAAACTTATGAAAAAAGTTGAAATTCTTTACAATAAAATACACTTTGATACTCTAGTTCAAGATGCCCAAAATAATTAAATATACTCATAGAGTGATCAAACAGCTACTCCACTTTGATTATTTCCTTATATCTTATCAAGTATTTTATTTATTTCGATTTAAATTAAATTAATTCAATTTAAAAAGTTTATCTATACTTTTTGTTTCTTTTTTTACCACATACAGGGTTCGGCAATAGTGCGTCGGGCGTCTGTAGCTCCTAGAATATAAAAAATTGAGAATTTTGCTTAAGTTCAAACCTAAAGTATGTACTAGAATGTATTTCAGGAAAATATTTTAACTTCTATAGGGGGGCTCAAAAAAGTGTGAGTGGATCGGGATGATTTTTTTTAATAGAACTTTACATAATCCTATGATATGGGTAAATAGATTTCGTAGTTTCAGAGATATTAATAAAAAAATAAAAACTATTTTTTTTTCAGCCTTTCTTAAAAAGGTTATTAAAAATACAAGAACTGTCCTGAAATCAAAACTATATTAGGTATTTACTTTAGATGATCTGTACTTAACTTTGCTATAAATATGGTAATCGTAAATCATAAAGGGTGTTCAAAATTCTACGCCAAACTTTCTAAAATATAAAATAATTTTTCTTCCATTTTTTTAAATATAACACCCTGTATATTATTTTTTTTTAATAGATGGAGAATTAAAAAATGAAAATTGAGTATATATTAAATGAGTATTTCAAAATTTTTAACGGTTTCACAGATATCCGCGGTTTTATATTTCATATGGCATTTTCCACAGTAATTTTTTATCAAAGCCACACCCAGTGATGTTTCTCTAGTATTTTACCATATAGAAGTTAAAATATTTTCCTAAAATACATTTTCGTACATACTTTAAGTTTGCACTTAAACAAAATTCTCAAGTTTTTTATTCTAGGAGCTACAGATGTCTGACGCACTATTGCAGAATCCTGTAGGACATTTAACTGTTCGAAACGGACTGTCGAAAGGTCGGATCCGCAGGCCGGTCCTTCTCGTGTATGGGGGGCTAATAAAATTTTATTGCCATATTTAAGCGTTAGTTAAAATTGAACAATATAAAAGTAACCGTTTTTTAGTTGCAAAAGCATGACCTTATCATTATTTAGTCAATAAATTTAAAAAATGGCGAAAAATTATCCCCACCTCAATAAACTAATGACAACTAATGATCTACTCACCACTGGGCTACTAGGTATAGAACAGTTGGCTGGAGAAAACAATCCAGAGCTTTTCAAAGATTTAGGAGACTTACAAATATTAGCCTCTTTGGCCGCATTTTGAATAATCCTATAAATAAATAAATCATTTAATTATGTATGCTTTGCTTTTCTTTTTGATTAATTTAAATATTTTTTATGTATACTCATATGAGACAATATTATATTATTTACCTAACTAAAGCTGCCCTTTCCTTAAATGCTTTATTCTTTGCATCATTAAGACGTTCATATTCTTCTTCAGTAAATTTTCTTATTTTTTCTTCTACGGAGACTTCTTCTTTTCTTATGTAATTTGTAACAACATCATTAATACTTTCAAGAATATTTCCAACATCTTTTGTAAGATCTGAAAACGCTATTACTTTTAAAAAAATTGTCAAAATATTAAGATTTTTTTCCATAACAGATGTTCTCACACAATTAAATATATTTTTTTATTATATTTGATTATATTTTTAATGATTATAAAAGTTATTTAATATTATAAAGCAAATTTAACATCAATTTAACATATACAAAGCCCAGAATAAAGCCCCATTATGTGAATAATTTGCTTTACTACTACTTTAATAACTTAAGAGTTTAATAGGCTCATATAGGACACGAGAATGTTTTCTCAATTAATAATTAACTTATTTCTCGATACTTTATTATTATAGTTGAACTTTTTTATAATTTAAAAAGATGAGGAGACCTTACTGGGCATTGTATACTAATAAAATTATTAATTCAATAAGATAAATAATAAGTTCATTTTTGAACTTACATGTATCTACACCTGCATTGTCAGCTCCAATGTCAATGGGGTTAACAACAATTTGAAATATGTTCGAAAATAAGTTGCTAGATTTTATATTGTTTATAGCCTCTTCATTCTATAGAAAATTGTTTATATTAGGTGAAGAAGCTGATGGATCTTGTTTTCTAAAGCCAGTGGCGGCGCTAGACGAAATGGTGACGTCATTTTCCAGTTAGTAACCAAATAAATGTTAAAACATTCGAGTTGATTCATACACTAGTAATAATTACACATTAATTTTAAAATTGTACTATAGGCATTGAATTAAAAGACCAAGGAGAATTAAAAGACCATGGAGCTTTAATATGGCTGGCTTAAATACCTTCGACCAACGTGTACTACCAGTCATGACCTGTGCATGAGAAACCTGGACACTTAAAACGGACATTGCAGGAAAGTGCAGGCCTCAGAACGCTCAGTGGACGAAATATGCTGGGAATAACCAAGAAAGACGGTAAAAGAGTAGAGTGGATACGACAATAGACACACTATTACCTATGTCATCCACAGAATCGAATCCCTCAAGTGGCATGGGCAAACACCTGGCAAAAAGGATGGACAACAGATGGACACCAAAAAGTACAGCAGGTACCCAAAAGGAATTAAGAGACATAGAAGACCAGACCTGAGATGGGACCATGATATTAGGACATTAGCAGGAATAATTTGGGCTCGCATAGCCAACAATAGACAAGAATGGACCCAACAAGTCAAATTGACCTATCCCAATTATTTTTGACAAGGAGGAAATAAATACGAAAATGTACGAATAGAAAATATAATTAGTTTATTCCAAGGCTGGGAAATGAACATCGATGACATTTCCCATATAAATTTACATATAAAATGACAGCGATCTTCATTCCATAGCCATCGCTGACGCCGTTCTTTCTCGATCATACGGTATAAAAGGTCAACATAAAAAGACTCCACAAAAACACGTACAAAATTTATTACAGAAGTTCAATACGCTGATGAATGCGCTCTAGTTGCAAAAACGTGACAGCAGTTACAAGGAATGCTGAACAGATATAGCTGAGCTTACGAGGCTTTGGGCCTTAAGCTGAACATCAATAAAACTAAAATCATGTGTACTCCTCCGGAAGATCACAACAATGCTATACAAATCGGAGAACTATTGGAATATGTAGGAATTTAATTACCTCAGCAGTTTAATTTCGGAAAAGGCCAATATCGACTCAGAAATTCAGCATAGGATTAGCAGCGCCTCAAGAGCAATATATTTTTACTCAGTAGTTTTATACAGGTACCGACGAAGAGTTATTACTCTTCAAAACAGTTAAAGCACATGTAGGTGGCACCACCTACAAATGGGAGTCGTATTGACATCAAAATCAAATTTATCATGTCAAAAAACAACCATCCACCAATTTTCATTCAAATATTGACGTTACTTCAGAAATTAGTTGGAAAAAATCGAAATAAAAATGAAACTTCTACACCCTGTATCTCCGAAACTAAGCATTTTAGGACATACATTAATACGAACTTTTTTACTTATTTTTCTCTGCAGAATATGTTGCCGAAGTTTCCGGAATACAGTTCGGACCACCCTGTATAAAAGCGAAACCTGGGTGCCGTACCGCCAACATATGAACGCATTAAACAAGTTGCAACAGAGGCAACTTAGATAACTCTTAAGAATCAAATACTTAAGATGGGCTGGTCACGTATGCAGGATGCAAGAAAACCGCCTATTATACCAAAATCCCTTCTTTACGGTGAGCTTGTAGACGGTAAGAGGAAACCGGGTGGACAACTCTGTATAAGGATATTTTCCACGAAAACTTAAAGCAGATCAGCATGCAGAATCAGTGGGAAGAAGCGGCACACAATAGAACATAGAACGCAATGGAAAAACATCGTAAACTCAGTTAACAGCGACAAACAAAAAGTAAAGAGGCAACACAGCAATGAGATTTTTGAATGTCCGGAGTGTGGAAGAAAGATAACCTCACGTATCGGGCTTTTCAGTCACAGAAAAGCCTATGAAAGAAAACGCCTTGCGTAACCATCTGATGCGTGTCAAATACTCGTCAGCGAGTAATGGCAGTAGTAGTAGTAATAATTGAATGGTTTACTTGTAACATATACATAGAAATATTTATTAGTGAAATGTCTAGAAGCCTTAGCATGCTTCGCAAGTAACTATTGTTAAACCCTCTTTCTAAGATTTACAGAAATCTAACTCAAATTCAAGTCCTGACACAATTTATTTTTAAATTTGTACACTTTGCATATATCCTATTGAAAAATTAGCAAAACATAACATCAAATAACGCGAATTCAAATATATCAAATAAAACTTTTTAAAATCGTATCTGATAACGTCAAATCCTTAGTATTTTTATTCAATGCCTGTAATAGCAATTATTATTAATTAAATAACGACAAAAATGATAATGACAAATATACACGTCCTTATGTTTCAATAATAAATATTATCATAAAATACTACTAGATTCCTATAGATAAAATAATAAATACGAATTACAAAAAAAATAACTTGAATGACAACTTTTTTGCAAAGCCACCTCAGGGACAGGGCTTTCGACGGTCGCCGACGCCTATCGCCGCCACTGTCTAAAACCTTTTTCCGAAAACTATCGCTTAGCGTTTCGACTTAGTTTTGAGAACAAGGCTTAAAAGATAAATAAACCTAAGGCAATTATTTGTATTGTTAGGCCAGTAATCAAATTAACTGTCTAACAAACGTTTGACTTCTAGTAAGCAACAGTCTCCCAGTAAAATAATATAAAAATATACAATATTATGTATATTACAGTTGAGGGTTGGAACCTTTGGTGTTACACAGTAAAATAAGAAACACTAAATCACCACAATACACCAAAACACTTTTACTTTTACACTGGACGCGCGTTTCGCTAACCATGTTAGCATCATCAGCAGATATAATCAGACAGTTTATAATCATCTGCTGATGATGCTAACATGGTTAGCGAAACGCGCGTCCAGTGTAAAAGTAAAAGTGTTTTGGTGTATTGTGGTGATTTAGTGTTTCTTATTTTGCAATATTATGTATATGAGAGTGACAGTGTTGGTTTGTTCCTTTTAATTGAAAGGCTGAATTTTCTACTATTTTTGGAGATCGTTTGCTATCTGTAGACTGTATTTTAACATGTCGGACAAGAATAAAGATAGCTGACTTGTTAGTTGATGACCAATTCATTATTAGGTGCCACCCATGTGCGAACAGTGATGGGCGGTGGGTAAATACCCAACGGGTAGGTAAATCAAGTTGTATAAATCCAGGTGTACAATGTATAATATTTTTCTTTGTTTTTAATTTAATAAAATTATTGTTTTACACTTTCAGTTTATAAATGTTTTGCGACGGTGTAATTTTACTGTATTTTGATTTGAATTATATATGTAGGTGACCTTTTTATCAATGTAGATTTTTTTTATTTGAGATCTACTAATAAAAAAGATAAATTTCTATGTATAATGTTTCTCCTTCTAGTCTCATCTTTACGTCTACGTCAGCATTTAATATAAACGATAGCAGGGCCTTTAAACATATTTTAAGTATGAGACACACTTTTCTGTATACTGACTTTTTTAAGTTAGTATACAGATACTTTTGGTTAGGCCCTCTCAAGAATAATGCCCTATATAAGCGGCCCTAAAGAAAATAACAGAAGACTTCTATCATCAGTAGTAGCTTAGTCCATAGTGCTATATGGAGCAAGTATGTGGATAGAAGCGATGAGACAAAAGTTCATAGAAACGCTTTTTTAAGGGTACAAAGAATGGCGGCGATAAGAATTGCATGCGCTTTTCGGACTACGTCAACAAGTGCTTTACTGATTATAAGAAGAACCCCGCCAATACATCTATTAGCCGTTCATCGAGCAGAGCTGGAAAATGAAGGGAGAGGAAAAAAGCAAGTATCATATGAGAACATGATGAAGATATGGCAAGAAGAGTGGTCTAATGAAGAAACCACAGCAAGCTGGACAAGATGTCTTATATGCAATATAGAGTCCTGGGTCTCCAGAAGTCATGGCGAAGTTGACTTCTACCTAACACAAGTGTTATCCAGACATGGATACTTTGAAGCTTATTTTAAACGCTTTCAGCTTAGGGATACGAATACTTCGTTACGGTCGTTACTGCGAACTGGTTGACAATGTCGAACACACATTTTTCCATTGCGCAAGATGGAGCTTTATTAGACATGCTGTAGAAGAGAAAGTGGGTACACTAACACCAGATAACCTAATCGACACCATGCTGAAGAACGAAATAGTTTGGAAGGAAATAAGCAAAATGGCTAAGGAAATCCTTATGGAAAAAAGAAGAGAGAATGTATGATCCGATAGGTCCAAACCAGCTACATAGAACAGAACATCTACATAGAACCCTCGTTCTGAATTAATGCTATGGTTCCGGGAGACACATAAAGGTTCTGAGGGTTGTTTTAGTCAGTAATAGTCTGACACTAGTTCGGTTGTCATACCATGTCCCCATGATGGTTTTTTTCCCGCAAAAAAGAATCAATGTATAATGTTTCTCTTTCTACTCTCATCTATATGTCAGCATTTAATATAAACAATAGCAGGGCCTTTAAATATACGTTTTAGTATGTCTTATTTTTAGACTTATTATGGGTAAAATCTGAGGCACACTTTTCTGCATACTGACTTGTTTAAAGATACTTTTGGTATATTTTTACTTTTGAAATAATTTTGTTAGCACCAAATTCCTTTTATAGAAAAAATACTTTTGTATTTAAATGGTTGTAACTAAAAAAAAAACTAAAATTTTTAAAAAATGTCTCATCTTTACACCACTTGATCCTAGTTTTTAGAATTCAACAAAACATGAAACACAACAAACTGGAATTTTTTTATTAGTCGATGTCAATGAGTTAGTGCTATGTTTATTTTAAAATAATGTTGAAGACGAATTGCTTAGCATCTAGCTGGAAAAATAAATGATTAAAATATCTACCATAGTCATAAAACGTCGTCATAGTTGGCTTGGAAAAGGAAAATAAGATCGTTGGCATTTAATATATAAATTATATGGCAAAAGTCATCAACTGTCATTTACAAGCCAACTTGATTCAACTTTTTTTGATCATACAATATTTGATATGTTTCATTATTTGGTGTTTGTGTTTTGGCACTTGTTAGTTATTTTAATTCAAAAGTAGATTTTTCTATCATCCACTACCATCTTTTGGACAGACTATAGTATATTATATTGAAAAATTAAATTCAAAATATATAATTGAATATTTAACAAAATGTTGGGGCAAATTAGTACATTCCATGTTTCATTTTTCAAATATTAAGTAAAGTTTTTCTAATAAGAAAAGGGATAATTTCAACAGAGAACATAATTGACGAACAATAAGTTACTTCTAAATTAAAATGACAGACATCTGTCACTGCCAGAATTCTATCTTTAGACAAACTATTAAGTAGTAAAAGAAGCAGACAAAAGAAAAGCTGGTTTAATCAATGTTTGGTTTACTTAAATATACGAAATACACTACATGACAAAAAATTATAGACAAAGATAAGTTTAGTCAGATCTATTTCGACACGTCTATAACATTTCCTTTGCATTTTTTAACAACTAACTGAGATTTTCCTTCAAATATCACAATTTATTACTAATCAAGGAGTTTCTTTATAAATTCACAGAAACCATATAAGCAAGAATTTGATATTATTTGTTCCTATTGTTTTGTTTGTGTGTACATAAATTAACTAAACCAAATTATAAGCATTTTTCTTAGATATTAAATATATTTTTGCATTTTTTATGTATCAGCAAATTTAATATTAGTTAAAAATAATAATGTCTGTAATGATAAATATCAAAATACTTAGACATTTACATATTTATAATATATAATTTCTAATTACCTGCAATTTGGAGTTTATTAAACCACATGAAGTGCCTCTGTCTCTATGAATTGCATAAGTTTGAATATTACAATTTATACATCGTGATATTGTCCATAAGCCTATAGAATAATTAAATACTAGACCAGCATACAGCTTTTTAATGCTTACAAGTCTTCCTACTAACCAATCATTCTGTAAAAAAATGTTTTAACTCATACAATGTTAATTTTTTTGGTATTAATGCAGACTGATAAGTTAATATTTATTTAGTAATATACTTGATGTGAATGAACTAGTTCTAAAGTACCAATCAGTCTGGCATGCATAATGGGAGGCTCATTGGTACTTTAGAACTTGTTAGATTGTTTGCCAATCAGTCTGGCATGCACAAGGTGTGTCAAAGATAGAGCTAAAGTTTATTTTCATATTTCTTTCCAATATTATGAGAAAAAAAATAGATTTAGGGAATATTTAGATAAAAAATTTAAAATCTATTTTTGTATATGCCTGTATAAAGTGTGGCATAATACCTCATATTACATATAACTTGTAAATACATGGAAAAAACAAATCTTACATATAAATATGTCACTATTAAAAATTGTATTAATAGTTAATAATGTCTAATGCTTGGTATTTGCCTACTAAATGCTTTTTTTTACTTTATACTTTTAGCTTTGATTATTAATAAAATATTTTCAAAGTACAAGAAGTGTTCATATTTCTCACATTTTTCTTTTAAATTAATATAATAGCAAGAATAACTGAAGCATAATTAAATTTAACTACTACACTAATTTGTTTTCTATGTTATAAATGACGAATGGTCCTCAAAAATGTCATAGATCATTAAAAAACAATTACCTAAAAAGATTATTACCTGATCTAAAAAATCACAATTCTCATCATGTAACAGTTCTTTAGCAACTGTGTCATCATTTCTTTCAAACTCAATTGTTATGTTCAAACAATTGCAGGCTAGCATCTCAATAATTTGTTGATTATTCTGAAAAATTAAATGATTTACTAATGCCAGAGCTAATGCTTTACTTTACATGGTTTTACAATGCTTTAAATGTTTTTTACATTATTTACTTACTTTGTCTTGCAATAGAAATTAAAATTTCAACTTTTGATTGCATAAAAAGAGAAAAACAACTGAAGTCTGTAATTACTTAAAAACTAGCTTAAACAACTATAATTGCTTATTTACCTATGAACAAATAAAAAATTTAGAAAATCGGATAAAAAAAGTTAACCACCGATAATGTGTCAAAACTCTTACCGATATGAGAATAATTTGGTTCGAGTTCTAATATTTTGTTGCATTTGGTGGAATAATTTTGAATATTTACTGAAGTATGTGAAGATATATTTTTTCCCTGATAAGATATGGCAAATTGTCCGTATATCTATATAAAATAAATTACCTGTTTGATGCTTTGAGTGTTTGCTTCTAATTTAACATTTACTTTTAAATTTAGTATAAAAGAGAATAATCCAAATAAACGTAATAAAACAAAGAAACATCCAACAAAGATGCCAATCGCAAACTTTTTTTCTGTCAAATACTGTCAAACTGTCAAAAAATTATTTTATGTCCATAGATATATAGATATGAGGTCCATATATGAAGTCAAAGATATGAAGCATAGAGGCGTAGTTCGTTTTAAGCATGATCATATATAATATAAGGTGCTGGCTGAATGATGTAAAGAGAAGTGGCCATGTTTTAGAAGGAGAAGAGCTAGGTGTTTCTGATCCAGAGATATAGAGGAAATTTATTCTCCATATTTCTTATGGATATTTCTGCTCTGATCATATCTTCATCGTCATCCTTCTTCTTCTTAAATAGTAGGCTAGGTAATTTTGACTAGGCAGAAGATCATATTCTTCTTCTCTTCTTCTTCTTCTCATAAGATCATATTCTATTTTATAACTTTTATAAGCCATAAAAAAGAACAAGAAGAAGTGGTCGTGTTAACCTCCAAAAATTGACAACATTCGAAAAGTGAACTTTGTAAATAAAGTTATTTTTTATTTATAAAATATTTGTCAATAAAAGCAACTATATTAAATACAACACTTAATAATAATATACTGTGATAAAAGGACTGCTCTGCCAGCTATTGTTATTGATTGTTTTTAAGCATATTATGTCAACATTTATGATGGATTATGAATTTAAAATGAAAACTCAAAATGAGAGAGTAAAAGTTGAAGATTTATTTGATTATGAAGGATGTAAAGTAGGTAGAGGTACATATGGCCACGTTTATAAAGGGAGACGAAAGGACGGTTCAGATAATCGAGATTATGCCCTAAAACAAATTGAGGGTACTGGACTCTCAATGTCTGCTTGTAGAGAAATTGCTGTAAGCTTTGCTTTAAATTATCCATTACATAGAATAATACTAACTTGGTTTTTTTTTTATAGCTACTTCGAGAATTAAAACATTCAAATGTAATTAATTTAGTTAAAGTATTCCTGTCACACAATGACCGCAAAGTATGGCTTATGTTTGATTTTGCCGAACATGATTTGTGGCATATTATTAAGTTTCATAGAGCTGCCAAAGCTAACAAAAAACCAGTTATGGTTCCCAAAGGAATGGTGAAGTCATTATTGTATCAAATTTTAGATGGAATACATTATTTACACTCCAATTGGGTTTTACATCGAGATTTAAAACCAGCAAATATATTAGTTATGGGTGAAGGACCTGAGAGAGGCAGAGTTAAAATTGCTGATATGGGTTTTGCTAGGTTATTTAATGCCCCTTTAAAGCCACTAGCCGATTTGGATCCTGTCGTAGTGACTTTTTGGTATAGAGCACCGGAACTTCTGTTGGGAGCCCGGCATTATACTAAAGCTATAGGTGAATTAAAGATTAAAGTAATATAAAAATATCTTTATTCTCAACATTTCTAAAAATATTTTATGAGTTCACTTATTTTTTTCTTAATATTTAATGAAATTAAATTTGTATCTTTATACTGTGGTAATACCCTCTTTATTCAGTATCCCAAGTGCTCAATTTACATTGTTTGTGCTTAATAATAATTCATCTAATGTTACCTATGTATACTGAATATTAAAATATTATTAACACAATGATATTAAATGTATATTAAAGAAATAATATTCTAAAAATATCCATGCACAAAGAAATTTATTTTTAAAGTCACAAAAGAAAATGGCAATTAAAAATTTAACAATTAATTAGATACATTGATTTTGCATAATAAATATCAATTATTATATTGGTGGAATACTTCATAAAAAGCTTGGTTACAATTTTCATCAAATATTTATCTAGACATATAACAGTAGCTTACTGGCACTGTCCGACTAGCATAAAAGAATTTAAATGTAATTTAAGACTATGGATTACAACTTAATATTATTGTTTGTACATAATATAATTGTTTAAAAGAGTTCTGGCTAAATAAGAAGTTATTTATGTATATAAAACATTTTTTTAATTTAACTTTTATTTTTTTAGATATATGGGCGATTGGTTGTATATTTGCTGAATTATTAACATCCGAACCTATTTTTCATTGTAGACAGGAAGATATAAAAACAAGTAATCCCTACCATCATGATCAGCTTGACAGAATATTTAATGTAATGGGTTTCCCCCATGAGAAAGATTGGGAGGATATTAAGAAGATGCCTGAGCACCCTACATTATTAAAAGATTTTAAGAAATCAAAGTAAATTATCCCACATCATTGTTAAATTTCTTAAAAAAATGGTCTTTTATTTCAGTTATGTAAATTGTTCTTTAGTTAAATATATGGACCGGCATAAAATTAAACCCGATAGTAAAGCATTCCATTTGCTACAAAAATTGTTATTGATGGACCCTAACAAAAGAATAACGTCAGAACAAGCAATGCAAGATCCTTATTTTGCTGAAGATCCTTTACCAACGCAAGATGTATTTGCAGGTAAAAAGACACTATTCATTTATAGCACAAAAATATCGCGCTCTTGTTGGTTTCTAAGTCAACTTTTTGTGACGACTTTTCGCTGAAAGGAAAAATTCATCTGTTTCAAAGTTAAAGCCCAAAAAAAGAAAAATTCATCTGTTTTAAAGTCAAAGCTCACCTAAATGTAAAAACTTTGTCTTTATATAATAATTAGAAGTGGACGAAATTGATATATTGAAACTGTCAACATACTAAAAATGAATAAGTCTATGTTAATAAACATTTTTAGCAGACAATGACAATCCACCTTGAGTATATTATAGGCTTGGTGCATTTCAGTTGATTTCAACAAATTCCGACCGCAGCGCACTCTACGGCAGAAATCAGAAATTATCAATAAATAGTTCACGCCGCCGTCATGTCGATCGCATTAAAATGATATTGAAATCGGGGTATTGTCGTAATATTTAAGTATTTTAGTTTTTTGCTAGTGCAGTTTTTATTTATTTTTTTTTTTATTTTTTTTTTATTTTGCAAAGTACAGTTATTGAGACTATAAAACACTCAGGTACCAGGTTTGTGTGATGTAACGCTGTTTCGGGTAGTAAAAAATAAGTGAAAAAGAATTCGAACTAGGCGTCTTGCGTCTTGTGTTGTGACAATTTCAAATGTTAATAAAATTGCCCAAAAAAATGTTAACGCGTAAAGGAGAGCGTAATTAGGGCGTTGTTGGGTGCAATAACATTCAATAACTCAACTTTCCCGGATATTCAACTCTCCTGAAACAACATTTTATAGCTTCATAATTTCTTACACCGATTTGATCAATAGTCAGTAGCAAAAATGGATTCAAGCAGTTCGACGAAACAAGTGAGTAAACAAAGTGCTCTTTACATAATCAAAAAATTAAATAGACATATACCGTATGATCGAAAAAAAACGGCGTCCAGTTGGCTGGGAAATGAACATCGATGACATTTCCCATATAAATTTACATATAAAATGACAGCGATCTTCATTCCATAGCCATCGCTGACGCCGTTTTTTCTCGATCATACGGTACTATGAGAGGATGAAATATAATTTGCAATATTAATGGTATACTTTTTTAATCAACTAGGGATTAAATGTTTTATGACCATCTTCTAAAATTCTAATTATGTACCTTTAAAAAATGTCGTTATAGCCGAAATAGCTCCAATTATGCCCCACTAACAAAACCGGTGATAAAACTATGCTCGCTACCGTAGTTGAACTCATTTAAAAAAAAATTTAACTGGAATAATAAATATAATGCAAGTTAGACCTTTTAAAGATATCAAAATATTTGCCTTTTTATTTTTTTGTTTCGAATTTCCACAAATTATACTTTCTAACACTTAGAATAATTATATACTAATTTTTTCGTTTACTCGCCATTTAAACCCGTGTATTTGTTCGTTATTTACGGTATTCTCCGGCGGTGGCAGCACCGGCGGAGAATGCACCAAGCCTATATTTGCCTAGTATAACCTCTCAAATAGAAACAAGAAAAAAATTGCCTATCTTTATTTAATCAGGATTGAGTTAAGAATTCCTAGAATAATTAATAATTAATTTGAAAGGTGTTTTAGCCTAAATGCGCGTTCATATGGGCACCGCTCCAGAGGTAAACATTGCGCAATGCCACTTGAGATGAGAGTATTCTAAAAATATCCATGCACAAAGAAATTTATTTTGAAAGTCACAAAAGAAAACCTTAATATCTTACCTTAATATCTTTTTTTTGCCGAAAAGGTACTATTGTTGCTGAGCGTTGCACCGTATCGCGCCACTCGAGCTGTTGACTTGGTTGATTTGGAGCGGAGTCGCTGCTACAGTTCGGAATTTTTATTCAATTTTAATGGTTGTAGATGTATCAAAGAAGTAGCGTGAAATGCTTGCTGCGAAAAATGTCATCTTCTATGACAAATAATAAATATTATAAATTCAGTGTACAGCTGTTAAAATTCTCCAAAAAAACTATTTTTATTCATTTCATGGATAGTTTGTCTGAATTTTTTTCTTATTTCTAAGAATAAGCTTTTCTAGGTGTAAATTTTCTATGTGCAAATTTTTACCAACGTAATTTTGTCTTGTAATGGCTAGGAAACAAGTGAGACAAAGCAAAGCACTGTTCGTTCAATATGAACACCACAACGCCTGAGACGGTATCGCTCGACGCTCGGCACGAAAAGGTCACCACTCGAGTGGTGCCAATATGAACGGACACTAAGGCTAAGAGCAAATTGGGTCGCTTATATCGCGTGTGACACGATCTGGCGCGACGTGAGTTTTTGTAAACTACAGGACTGCAGAAATAAATGGTGCGGCGCTACCCGCGTGACGTGACCAGCGCGTGTCTCTGTAGTTCAGACACAGTTCTTCGCGCGTCGAGTTCTTGTGCAACACTTGTCTTGCGTTCTTGTGCATTACTTTTTATTAAGGCCCGACCGAACCTGGATTTTTAGTCTCGGCCGAGACCGAGACCGAGAAAAAAGAAATTCTCAGCCGAGTACGAGACCGAGACCGAGACATGATGCAAAATTTATATATTTTAAAACGTTATTTTCATGCAGAAACGGTTTTATTGGGATTTAACACTATAAAATTACTAATACTAATAAAATGACTTTTTTTAGTCTATGTTACAGGCTAAAAAAGTAATTGTTCAGCATTGCATCCTTTCAAATTATGCAGTGTTTCATTGTATTCTTTCTAAATAGATGTTTGCTAGTGACGCTTGTTGGTGGTGCAGACTAGAAATTTATAAGCTGCTGGTTTTAGAACGCTACTCTGTATGGAGGTGAATAATTACACACAAGAATTTTACTTATTAGTAGGATATACGAGTAAAGGTTGATTCTCACTATACCTTCCCTTTCCATTCCATATCAATTTGCGGACCACAAAGCAGCGCGTGTGGCGTGTCACGTCAGGTCATGCCACGCGATATATGCGACTCAATTTGCGCTTAGCCTAACACATTTAAATATTATATAATAATAATAATAGCTCCCGTATATAGAGTTTAACGCCTTGGGAGTAGCAAGGTACAGCTTGCCATGCTAGAACTGTTCGGTGTACAAGGAAGGTAATGTGGCTAGCACTACGCTTCAACCGCCTATTATTACCTCAGGATTGTGAATCCCAAGTACTCATTTAAGGCTGAGTCGACCCAAGGTTATTAAAAGATAAGGATGTCTCGTAACTCGACCATCTACTACATCAGAGGAATGATACCACTCATAGATAAAGGGATAAAAACTGCCCACAGTCGGACAGTGCATTTCCGAATCGATATTCATTGTGTACTTTATTGTTTATAGTGTATGGCGTCAATAGTCTTCAATTGTTTGATGTGTGTTTTCTTTATTGTATTGTCCATTTATCTCTCTTTGTCGGTTGCATTTTATTTTTTATTCTTTTATCTATGATTTTATACGTTCTGTAACATCCCTGTGACGTAGTTGCAGCTCGCTCCTATTGGTCCAAAAGTTACGAGACAACCTTATCTTTTAATAACCTTCTAGGTACTCAAACTAATTTTATTTTAATAAAAATAGTCGGCTGATGAAATGCCGGGTGTAGGATTCGAACCTACTACCTTGAGATTGATAGACGAGAGCCTGTACCTCTACGCCACCGGGCACTCCACATTTAAATATTGCTGACTTATTTTATTCTTGCTTACTCAACTTTACGCTTAGACGCTATCCTTATATTTCTTGACTTGGAATGTCACACCAAGGAGTTCAATAAACTTATTGTAGGTTGTCCAATACCATACCCCAAACGTGAATTTCTCACCGACGATGACCAGGAAGAAAAATCTGAGAACAAGCAAAGGCAGAATCAAGCACAGCCTCAACAATCTCAGGCTCAACAATCGCAGCAACAAACTCAACAACAACAGCAACAATCAAATCAACAAGAGAATCATCCAGCTAAAAGAGTCAGATTGTCTGGGCCACCAGGACATCCTGGACAGGTCAATTCTCAGGTTAGATATTGAAGCATTTGTTAAACAAGTCGTGCCTGACAATCCGTTTCTGTTTCATACATAGTTTCAGCATTTTCTAAGATATTAAGGTTAACATGATGCAATATAGCATTGAATATAATATAGAGGGCGAGCTTTAAATAAGTGCAACTTTTACAGGGCTGATAGATATCGAAAAAAGGAATATATTTTCTCTTTGCCGTTTTTCAAATAAGCTTAAAATAGCCAGTTATTGTACTTTTTACGAAAATTTAAAAAATGGATTTTTTCTTAAACTATGAGAACCACTGGATTGTTACTACTGATTTTCACTCCTCTAAACTTAGTTTACTACCTATGTTGCCATATTATCAAGATATTAAATTTTTGATATAAGTTAAAATTTAAAACTTTGACACATTTACGAAAAATACAAAGTTTTTAAAAATTTTTTTTCACGAAAAAAACTTATAACCATTTTTCTAGGTTCACAATATCGTAAATATACCCCAAAAAATTTTGCACTTATTTAAGCCTCACCCTAACCGGGTGCGTCTTAAAAGTGGATCACCCCTATAACTTTCTTATTTTTTTCAGATAAAAAAACGAGATTTGGTTTATTAGAATATGAAATAAATTAGGATTCATTCACATATTAAGTTGTTTTTGGCCACTTCCTGATTCACCGGAAATGACTACAACTTTTCATTTTTAAATGGCACCCTCGGTATATTTTTACTTTATACGATAGAAAATTACACTCTGGAAAGAATGACATATCATATGTCAACTTTTGACATTTTCGCTTAAAAAAATTGTATTTTAAATTTCAATCTAGAGTGTTAAAAAAAATAATTTTTAATCAAAGAGCCTTGGAAAGATAAATTTGATCGTCTAATGTTTTTATGTCTTGTTCTGGCCAGTTAAAAGATGCCCAAATCGTATTTTTAATTATATCTCAATTTTTTCGAATTGAACAAGGGTGGTTCATTAGCATATTCGGAAAAAGCATTTTTTACGAATAATTGTGTTACCATATACTTGGTATTTTGACATGGTACCATATACTTGGTATTTCGAATCAAATTGTCCTTATGAACCGCATATTACTATTTCAAATAAACCATATGCGAAGGTCCAAAGTTGACATATAATATGTCATTCTATCCAGAGTGTCATTTGCTATCGAATAAAGTAAAAAAATACTGAGGGTGCAACTTAAAAATCAAAGGTTATACCAAATCTCGTTTTTATCTAAAAAAAAAATAAAAAGTTATAGGGGTGAGTCACTTTTGATACGCACCCGCTATAATACAATGTAAAATTAAATCACATAAGTATAAAACGCAAGATTACATTATCCAACGTACCCTACAGCTCCAAAAAAGCTCGGTATCAGGTTTTGCTGTTTAAGATTTTCAGTTTGTTTTTTTTTTACAAAAAAATGAAGGCAGTGACAGGTTGCAGAGAGATTCAAATACATTTTTATCTTAAAGTAGTAGTTTTTTAAATGGAATGCGATATATTTTGTTTGCTTAGGGGGTTTCTCCTAAAAGGTCTAAAAATGCGACTCTAAACCAAGAGGTTCTTGAAATTATCGGCATTTTGCAATTTCTCATAGCCACTTTAGTTATAAATATTTTTTTCCGTAGTCCCTACGGCTAATACTTTACGAGTTACAGCCGAGAACTATTCTTAGTGGGACACCCTGTACATAAAATCTCAGTGAGGAATTTTAACTTTTTTTTCGAATTTGTGGCTCATCCTAAATTTTTACAATTTTTTATGCTAATCACTTTTGTATACGTTTTAGCCGATGCAAATGTCCCAGCAACAACAAGAATTCCATCAACAGCAAATGATGTACAGTAACAATTCACAACAGCAACAACAAAGTTTTCAACAACGATTTTAAATCAACTTGGATATTATACAAGTTTTATTGTATAATATTTTGTTTATGATTATGTCATGAAAGTAAGGTTGTAAATATAACTAATATTAAATATTGTCAATACCAGTGGCGGCCAATTTTGATAATTATAGAAGAGACATGTTGAAATTGTTAAGACTTAACATGACGTTAAGCAAGCTCTAATCTACATTAATTTTTTGTTAGAGGACAATTAGTAGGTTAGTAGTGCCTCTCATGGTGAAATTAAAACTCTATACTTTTAACTGTTTTATTTGAATTTTAGCTATTTATATTATTTATTTTAGCGATTTATTTTATCTATACCATATCACAGATTATACAGATTATAAACTTTGTTTTTTTCTTTATTGTTTTTCGTGGTTCCAATTTTCGGAACCGGACACTAGTTAGGTTACTAGTTTGTGCATAGCACGCCCACTTATGGCCTCTAAAATTGTGCACAGCGCCTGACCGGCACAGTTATTAGAGAGATATCGGAAAACCGAATAGCGTCATGCAGTATTTACGTGTACCTTATCATGGTTACGATATGTGCGAGTCAATTTTTAACGCAACACCCGCTAATAACGTTACCGCCTGACGTAATTTGCGGATCAATTACACCAAGCGCTATTTGTAAATAACGTTTAAAAATTGCTTAAATGGGCATGTGCGGGTATTTGACAACCGGGGCCGGCCGGCGAGATCTTTTATTTTAGGTTATGTTTGAATTGTTTTGAATTATTACTTTAGTTTTATTAGGTAATTTGATATTTAAGTAGCTAGGATTAGTTTTAATTAAATAAATATGGCCTAAAATATGTGGATTCCACCACTTCCAATATTAAAGAACCTATAAAGAGGCTTAGGTTTACAGCAGATGACGACTTAGCCCTTCTAAGAGAATTTGTTGCCCTAAACCCACTGGCAGACGTTGAATAATAAAGCACTGGAAATAAGCACTTTAGCCCTTTAGTTTTAAAATACCTAGTAAACAAAACAATTTCAAAGTTTTAAATTCAAAGTTAGGTTAAGTTTAAATAGCGGAGGCGACGCGAGCAGAATTCTTTCCGATCCGATAACTATAAATGAAGAGACTTAATACCACCTCACGTACAGGAAATAACACCTGGCGTGATTAACGTTCATGTACGCTATTCGGTTTAGCGATATCTCTCTATTACGCTGTTTATTGTTATTTTACGCGAGTTTATTTTTGCGCACAGGAAATTTTACTCGTTTGCACATCGTCATAAAAACAATTTTCGTACCACGAATTAGGGATAAGATTTTTATCTGTATACATATAGTATACCTAGTCTGTGACCATATGATCAAAGAAGAGAGATCATGGAGAAAAAAATGGATGTTTGTTGATGAAACACTTTTAATAGTCAACTGTTTATAAAAACCAATTTTTAATAAATTTGTTCGACTCTAAACATTCAAATATCTCTCATCAAAAACTAACTTTGATCATTCTATATGTGTGACAATTTTGTTAAAATAACAAATTGATTTAAATAATACAGTTAAATACAATTTAGCTTTGTTAGAAGAATTATATGATATAAAATTGATCAAGTCAATAGTTTTCTTTTTTTTTTGTAAATAATAAATCACTAGTAGCATCTTTAAAAAATCATTCAATATCATTGATTAATTAGAAACTCGTGTTTTTTTTTATTTAGCTAGATACCCTAATAGAAATTCTAACATGTCAAAAAGAGACAAAAGCGTGTATTATATGTATTGTTTGTTAAAATATTAAAGACATTTTTTCAGATTTTACCAATATCTAATATTTTTTTCACTTTCATTTGAAGAGCACACGGGAAAAACGATAACGCCCAAACACGATAAATGTTCAGGAAAGCGTTTTTTAATTACTGCACATTATGCATGGACTTTTATACATTTTTAAATGCCTGTTTCTATGTGACCGTTATCGATATTCACCTTTATTTAAGTACCAAAAGGTGTAGCTTTTTAAGACGAAAAATATTATACATTAAAATCAAATTAGCAAAAAATGAACTAACATCGTTTTTCCCGTGTGCTCTTCATATAGGAAGCCAAAACTACAATCAAGGCCGTCACTGGTAAATTTTAGGCATACAATTATTATTTTAGCTCTATATTTTTATGATAGTGATATAGTTTGTTTTATGATAGTGATATTTTATACAATTTATGGAGGTTAATTTATATTTTAAAAATATTATTGATTAGTAGTATTTTAGCGTAAAAGAACATTTTAAAATTCTAAAAGTTTTTTATATCAACTTATTTTTATCAATTCGCCTATTAGATTACATCTAGATAACTCTATATATTAAATAATGTCAATACCTTTGTGGCCGATTCTCTTCTTCAAAAAATATTTGTGGGTATGTGGCCACTGGAAGAAACTCTACAAAATAAAATAGTTTTTTTGTAAACTGCTGCGTTTATCTAATGGAGACCAATTTGTCAGCGGTGCTTTACTAATAAAACAAATTTGCCTAACGGAGAAAAAAATGATTACCGTTTTAGAAGGTATATCTCCTACCGCCGCCGCGCCGTCGCGCGTCGTCTGAAGAAAAAACTGTAAAAAAAGAGAAATTGATAGTTTATTATACAGGGTGTTTCAAAAAACATGTGCCATCTCTCGTAGGGAGATTCCTCACGTAAAAGTACAGGGTGTTAAAGTCTTAATATTTTTTCGATTTATTATAATTTTCTTCCAAGTACAGCTGGTTCCAATAAAATTGAGTACGATTTAAAACATATTTTTATTATTTCGGGCAGTATATTCTATGATACCAGTCCCCCATTTCTCTACTCATGTCATGCTGACGTTCTGAAAAATTTATTTGCTACTTTGTCAAAAGCAATGTTGTTTTATACAATGTCACAATAACCTTAACATAGAAAACAAATTTCTTGCAGTATAGGTATATAATAAAATTATATAAGGATTCTTGCCACTTAACTGCTTTTATAAAAATGTAATTCTACGCTGTGTTTGTCATAATGTGGATCAACCTGCTCTCACTACCGGTTTCGGAGCCCTACTCCATCATCAGGTGAGCTTGGGCAGATCCACAAAATGACAACCACAGCGCAGAGCTAGTTAATTCCGACTTGTCGGAAAGTGTCGGTTTATTAAGTTCGGTTTATTAAGTGTCGGTTTATTAAGTCCAGAACGGGAAATAAGGCGAAAAAAAGCCTTTTACCATCCTGTTACTATCGATAGTTGCGCCCCAGTGGTACGAAAGTACTACCATTGCACGCAGGCCGCTATCTCCCGTTCGGGACTTAATATCTAACCGACACTTTACGACAAGTCGGAATTAACTATCTCTGCGCTGTGGTTGTCATTTAGTGGATCTGCCCAAGCTCACCTGATGATGGAGTAGGGCTCCGAAACCGGTAGTGAGAACAGGTTGATCCACATTATGATAAACACAGCGTAGAATTAAATTTCTATAAAAGCAGTTAAGTGGCAAGAATCCTTATATAATTTTATTATATACCTATACTGCAAGAAATTTGTTTTCTATTTTATAATTTGGTTTGCCTGAAAAAAAGCCTTTTACCATCCGTTTACTATCGATAGTTGCGCCCCGGTGGTACGAATGTACTACCATTGCACGCAGGCCGCTATCTCCCGTTCTGGACTTAATATCTAACCGACACTTTCCGACAAGTCGGAATTAACTATCTCTGCGCTGTGGTTGTCATTTTGTGGATCTGCCCAAGCTCACCTGATGATGGAGTAGGGCTCCGAAACCGGTAGTAGAGCAGGTTGATCCACATTTTGACAAACACAGCGTAGAATTAAATTTCTATAAAAGCAGTTAATTGGCAAGAATCCTTATATAATTTTATTAATAACCTTAACATGTCAAAATACTTGACACATAAACATACACTGCTCAAATATTCGAAAAAAAATTGTAAAGAGTCTTGAGCTGTACTTTTAGCGTTTCGAATGAAATTTTGAGGATAAAAGTTCTCACTGTACGGTATCACTGGAATATTTTTCTCTCTTGATATCTTGTCAATTTCGGCCTTCTTGATGAGATAAACGGAATTTTATTAATTTGCCTTGATCCAAGTCCTTTAAAAAAATTAATATCGTTAACTTACAAAAGTTTAAATTAGTTTTTTTGTAATTATCTTAAATACCATTATTTTTTTATTTGAAATTGCTGTAGGTTGGACTAATAGTAATAATAACATTAGTAATAGCAAAGAATATCTTAATACCCTAGAAGTCTCGTCTCGCATCAAAATCTGACCTGTCGATGGGGCCTCGCTTTGGCGAGCGAGGCCCCAACTTCGTGGGGCCTCGCTATTTTGCTCGGAATTGAACGAACAGACGCGCGGCGTTGCCTTGTTTTGTGTGTACTTTCTTGAATAGTTTTAAATTATAGTTTTAAATTTCATCTATTGCTATAATCAGTCTTTCCGCTCTCCGCTCTCCGCTCTCCGCACTCCGCAGTTTTCATATAATATTATCTATATAATTCCCGTGTTACAGTTTTGGGTGGTTTTGGTTACCGTACTCCTCCGAAACGGCTTAACCGATTTTGATGAAATTTTATATGTATATTCAGTAGGTCTGAGAATACGTTGTTATCTATTTTTATACCCTTAAGTGATAAGGGTAGCCCACCACCATTTTTTTATTTTTGAAAAAAAAATATTTTAATTTTTTTTATTTGGCATTAAAAAATACAAACAACCCTAAATTTTCACCGTTCTACCATCATCCCCTATTTTTTAATAGGGGTTGTTTTTTAAGTTTTTTGTTACCATCTCCGAAACGGCTTAACCGATTTTGATAAAATTTTATATGTATATTCAGTACGTCTAAGAATAGGTTATTATCTATTCTTATACCCTTAACTGATAAGGGTAGCCGAGGGGGTAGCCCACCCTCATTTTTTTATTTTTGGAAAAAAATATTTTTTTATTTGGCCTTAAAAATACAAACAACCCTAAATTTTCACCGTTCTACCATCATCCCCTATTTTTAATAGGGGTTTTTTTTAAATTTTTGTTAGCATCTCCGAAACGGCTTGATCGATTTTGATGAAATTTTATATGTATATTCAGTAGGTCTGAGAATACGTTGTTATCTATTTTTATACCCTTAAGTGATAAGGGTAGCCCACCATTTTTTATTTTTTGAAAAAAAAATTTTAATTTTTTTTATTTGGCATTAAAAATACAAACAACCCTAAATTTTCACCGTTCTACCATCATCCCCTATTTTTTAATAGGGGTTGTTTTTTAAGTTTTTTGTTACCATCTCCGAAACGGCTTAACCGATTTTGATAAAATTTTATATGTATATTCAGTACGTCTAAGAATAGGTTATTATCTATTCTTATACCCTTAACTGATAAGGGTAGCCGAGGGGGTAGCCCACCCTCATTTTTTTATTTTTGGAAAAAAAATATTTTTTTTATTTGGCCTTAAAAATACAAACAACCCTAAATTTTCACCGTTCTACCATCATCCCCTATTTTTAATAGGGGATGTTTTTTTTAAATTTTTTGTTAGCATCTCCGAAACGGCTTGATCGATTTTGATGAAATTTTATATGTATATTCAGTAGGTCTGAGAATACGTTGTTATCTATTTTTATACCCTTAAGTGATAAGGGTAGCCCACCATTTTTTTATTTTTTGAAAAAAAAATATTTTAATTTTTTTTATTTGGCATTAAAAAATACAAACAACCATAAATTTTCACCGTTCTACCATCATCCCCTATTTTTTAATAGGGGTTGCTTTTTTAAATATTTTGTTACCATCCCCGAAACGGCTTGACCGATTTTGATAAAATTATATGTATATTCAGTACGTCTAAGAATAGGTTGTTATCTATTTTTATACCCTTATGTGGTAAGGGTAGCCGAGAGGGTAGCCCACCCTCATTTTTTATTTTTTGAAAAGAAAAAAATGTTTTTATTTTTTAGTTGGCATTAAAAAATACAAATAACCCTAAATTTTCACCGTTCCATCATCATCCCCTATTTTTTAATAGGGGTTGTTTTTTTTTTAATTTTTTGTTACCATCTCCGAAACGGCTAGACCGATTTTGATAAAAGTTTGGTTTGGTTTGGTCACAACCTATTCCCAGGTTATCTATTTTTTATACCCCTAAGTGATAAGAGTGGTCCATCCCAACTTTTTTTTTTATTTTTTAGGCAATTTTTTTTTATTTTAATTGTTTTATAGGGAGTGCTTATTTTTTAGGGGGTGCATGTCCAAAATTTTCTTCTGGGTACTCACTTTCATCACTTAAGGGACCTCTGTACAAAATTGCATATTCCTAGTCCTAGAACGGATTTTACATAAAAATTATACAAATTTTTACCCTTAGTTTTATCCCCTTAAGAAATGAATTCCAAAAATCGCTCTAATTATTCAATTACGCTACATAATAAACCTCTGTGCAAATTCTCATATTCCTTGAACAGAATTTATTGTTCCAGAACGTTCAACCCTCATTTCACACCCTTAGAGGGCGAATTTCCAAAAATGCTTCTTAGTGCTAAATTACGTTACATAAGGAACGTCTGCAAAATTCATACTTCTAAAACCGATTTTAACAAATTTTTGTACAAATTTTCATCCCTTATTTTTTAGGGGATGCATGCCTAAAATTCGCTTCTAGGTACTCACTTTCATCATTTAAGGGACCTCTGAACAGAATTTCATACTCCTAGTCCTAGAACGGATTTTACATAAAAAATTATACAAATTTTCACCCCTAGTTTTACCCCCTTAAGGAATGAATTCCAAAAATCACTCTAATTATTCAATTACGCTACATAAGGAACCTCTGTGCAAATTTTCATATTCCTTCAACAGAATTGTTTCAGAACGTTCACCCCTCTTTTTACACCCTTAGAGGGCGAATTTCCAAAAAGTGCTACTTAGTGCTAAATTACGTTACATAAGGAACGTCTGTGCAGAATTTCATACTTCTAAAACCGATTGTAACAAACTTTTGTACAAATTTTCATCCCTTATTTCTAGGGGATGAATGTCAAAAATTAGCTCCTGGGTACTCACGTTCGTCACTTAAGGAAACTCTGTACAAAATTTCATACTCCTAGAACTAACATTTTTTGTACAAAATTTCACCCCCCAGTTTCACTACCCTTAGGCTATACATTTCTAAAAATCGCTTATCAATGTTCAAATGTGCCACATCTGTGCAAAAGTTCATACTCCTAGTAGGTACAGATTTTTTTTGTATAATTACACCCCTTTATCTAATTACACCCCCTTATGGGTCGAATTTTAAAAAATTACTTAGTAGTACTCATCTTAGAGAACGAATTAATATTCTCCGTATTTACTCCACTTTCCTAATACTCGCACAGATAATACATAATCATACTAGTTAATTTTTTATTGGAATAGAAGTAATTTTTATTAGAAGGTACAAAAAAAATAAAAATCTAAAATTTTATTTTCATAGCTACGTTTTATTAGCCTTAGGATGCCTCATGTACTAACGAATACGAAATATATAATCAATACATATTTCTTTAAATATCGAGAAATAAAATATGTTTTGGCAACACCGTACGAAATATCGCCGCGCGTAGTCCTCAAAATTTAAAATATTAGCATTTTCAGGCTTCGATTATGTTCAAAAGCGCCACCGTATGACAAATCACTAAAGCTTCCACACGAGAGTTCTTAAAACTATAATATTCTTTGGTAATAGTAATAATAATAGTAATAATACGACCCGATACAAGGATTATTCCAGAGAAACCTGTGATGACAAAAAAAAATATTTAATTTAATAATAATAAGGACTAATAGTAATAATGTTTAATAATAAATTAGGTAAAATATACAATCTATTAATTTTATTTTAATTTTAATTTTATTAATTGTGATTAATAAAATTGCGTTTATCTCATCAAGGAGGAAGGAATTCAACAAAATATCAAAAGACAGCTTTTAAGTTGCATTAAACGACCTACAAAATTTTGATATCAAAAGAAAGAAAGTCAGTGGCTCACATGATTTTTTTTGAAAAATATTCTAGTGATAACCCATGGGACTTTATCTGTGGCACTGTATTTGAAGATTTTATTATAAGAGAGCAAATGGATATCAAATGTTGGGAAATATCTAATTCAGTTGAACTTTTTATTTTAGAGTTGAGCATTTTATTTCCTTTTTAGGGTTCCGTACCCAAAGGGTAAAAACGGGAACCCTATTACTAACTTCGCTGTCCGTCCGTCCGTCCGCCCATCCGTCCGTCTGTCACAAAGCTCTATCTTATGAACCGTTATAGCTAGACAGTTCTATCTATATATATATATATATATATATATATATATATATATATATATATATATATATATATATATATATATATATATATATATATATGTATATATATATATACAACGCCACTGTATTGTGTCTACGCTACTACATATTTTAATGCCAAATTAGTACCATCAGGGTTGGAAAAAATCACGATTTTTTTTAAAAATCAAAAAAATCAGATTTATTTGATTTAAATCACATTTTTTTGATTTTAATTCAAAACAATATTTAAATCGGAGTTCCAAATGACTAGGACTTATTTCCAATTAAAGTCCAATCCTAAATGGCTAAATCTTTATAACTCTGCCTGGTACCGATAACATTAACAATTCTACGGCGCGTGTCATTCCGTTTTTCGTGTTTTCCACATCGGTCACCAAAATATTCCGCAAAAAAAGTCATTCGCTTCAGATCAAAAGGATTTTTTTTGTCATTTTAACGCCTAGGCACAAAAGTAAAGCACTGTTACACCTAAGCACAAAAGTACAAAAATATATTATTAAACTGATATTAAGTGTCAAATTCAACGAGTGTACAAATTGTTGCTCGATTACTGTTCATATTATTTGCAATGTTTGAAATTGATTAAAAATTTATTTGTAATGTTTTTAAAAAAATAGTTCTATTCGGAGTAAAAATGTACTTTTTGTGCTCCCTGAAACCAAAAAAAGTATAATTTTTACTCTTAATAAAACACTACACTACCTATTGTTCGGAAATAGTCTTAGTCGAGAATGAAGTTAGTATATATTATCTAATATCAAAGTGTAAAGTGCTTACTGTAGATCAAAATGTCGGTAGGAATTTGGAAACGTACAACCGTTTCAAAAAAAAATAAAACAATTCGTTTTCTGACAACGATTATAGATTCTCGGGAATGAAGATATAGTCTTTAATCAGAAGAACCTAGTTCTGCACTAGACTTTGCGAATGATATGTATTCGAACAGCGAGTTTTTGTCACTTATTCATAAATTTTAAAATAAATTCCTGCGTTTAGCGGTCTAATGGATTCACACGAAATTACTTGAAAAATCGGTCCAACATTTAAATTGATGAATAGATATTTTAATTATTTTTATGTATTTTTATAACATTTACAATAATTATTTTTCGATTTACTATCTGTTTCGAAATATTTTTTCTAGTCTTCTAGGACACAGTTTTATAACTTTAAAGTTATTTCTTGATTTTATTATAGTTTTTTTTAAATCACATGATTAAAATTAAAAAAATCACTTGATTTAAATCATTTGATTTAAATCATGCCAACCCTGAGTACCATTATACCGTCGAGTTCACGCTAATTTTGTTGATATGCTTTTTAATGTTTTTATTTAATGGTATGTAAAAAAAGAAACACTAAAATCGGTTAAAAATAAATATATTTCATTGTAACTATAAAACAGACGTACATAACATTTTCCATGAAAAGCTACTGTATACAGTTTAGTAAATGCAACAGACATATACAATAAGGCATCTATCTTATCGTCAATGTGACAAATATTATGGTCCCACTATTTGTTGTAAAAAACAGTAGATCATGTAATACTTAATAAAAAATAGTTAAGTTTACTTTTTTACTCTGCAATTTACTACATCAAATGTACTCGTAAAATCTATCGTTTAAAATTTCAAACAAAAACAATTTTTGTTTTTGTTATATTATTAAAATTCCCACAATATTAAAACCAGAACATCTAATAAAGTATTTATTTATTCAGTCAAATAAGTCAATGTTTTTAAAACTGGGATCTTTCATCAATTTTCTGATTGCTTATAAGAAATTTAATAATATAATAATTTTAATAGTAAGGCACAAATAGGTACCGGTAATAAGTCTATTCATATTTATAATATTTAAGTACAAAAAACAGGGTGTTAAAAATATGAAATATAAAACAGTAACATTCGCTCTTAATATTTAATCTATACACACATAAAAGTGATAAACCCATTTTAATTTTCTTAATTTTTTATAAACAATTTTAAATATTAAAAGCTATAAATAAATATATGCTAAAATATGAAACTTTTTATAATTTAAGACGAGAACTCTGAAATTAATATAAATAATACTTTACATAAAGATATATGATTTGAACTATTAAAATCGATTAAAACTCGATTTTATTGCACTTTCCTAGTTGAGCTTTTTTAATTGAAAAAAAAATCGAAACGTCATTTACAGCATTCTCCATATAGTATTATTTTTTGGAGTGTATATATTTTAGGAATTTAATATCAACATTAAAATGTCTTAAACAATATTTTTCTTCAACACCCAAATTATATAAATCTCTTATAGCTTCCAAAGCTTTTCTCTTATAAAAATATATTAATGTAATTTTACTATACTCCTTTGGCTTGTAAATGGAATGTATGAAATTATATAAAATTAGTAATATGTTTTATTCTATGGTGACTTAAATATAAACACGATCTTTAAATGGAAGACGATAATTTAATAATTTAAATCAGCAGCACATTCATAATAACTAGTAAAATCTTACATAAATTACATACTGAATCCAGAGGTATATAAAATAAATTTTATTTCATGTTCTTTCCCTTTCAAAATAAAGGTCATAATAGTCGTATTATTTATATGTACCTACTGTCTTTAATACGCTACTTTTAATGACAAAATGACAATGTACTTCCCAAATATAGTGTTTTTAAACGTTAAAAGACTTCCCTTGGTAAGTTTTATTTGGCAACCTGCTTGACAATTTGAGGATGTGTTCGAGCAACAAGAGCTTGTAATTTTTGTAGTTGGCCCATTAAATTAACGTTCGACTGTTCTAAAGTGTCTATTTTCCTTTTGTAGTCACTATTTTCGGTGACTAGAATTTCAACTTTTTTTTCTAATTGATCCATGTACTCTTTTTTCTTTCGTCGACTTTCTTGAGCTGATATCTGAAAATAAAATCAATAATTTAGTAAGTTGTATTTATTTTTTACATAAATACGACCTGAAGAGATAAAATTAATATAGTAAGATCAAAAACTTACGATTAAGTATGGTTTTAGGTAGTTATGAGATAACTGGAGCGATTGAAATAACCGACATCGCTCGATTATGAACGAGCGATGTAACTGACGAGTACCAAGCGACGAACGCAAGCGATCCTAGAATGAAATAAATTGAAATCCGATTTTAATGTGACATACTCGATAAAAAGCCGAGCGAATTTTCTACATACATTGCAGGAAGCAAATTTATACGACGCCGTATATATATATATATATATTTATCCGTTGCGTATCTGAGGGACAAAATTTTACGACTTACATCGACAATGCTTTGAAATAAACTAAATCAAGCGAATCGCTCGCCGCTTGCTACTTGCCATTCATCACTGCGCATGCAACTTACTGCTTTGGCGTTAATGAGTACTTACAGCAAGCGACGGGTGAAAAACCGTATTTTTAAATACGAGTGATATTTCGCTCGAGCGATCACTCGGTTATTGCAATCGTTTGACACTCGAGTACTCGATTATTGAAATTAATCATCATTAATAATTTATCATCAATTATCCCATCACTAGTTTTAGATGACAAATGAACAGTTCTTATGGTAAATTACATTACAATTACTTGAACTGTCAAAGTCAATGCCTGCTTGATTATAAAATTTTTGATTAGGAATATGGTATATTTAACAACATGTAAATTTCCAATCATTAGCCTCCCATCACTAGAAGATTTGACCTGCGGATTTGATCTGCCGGTTTATCGGCGGACTTAGCCTGTCACATACCAAAACTGGAATTTTGGAGAGGTCAATCTGGCCTGGCGACTAAGTCTGCCGATTAGATCTTTGCCCGATTCAATCTTTCGATGTTTTATAAAGCATTACAAGTCCGCGGGCATCGTTTTTTTAAACCAATCTAATCTGACAGATCAAGTCTGCGGGTTTGGGCCGTGACAGAATTGGTCCGCCACACAAACAAAAAAGTTTTTATCCGCGGATTTGGCACCTGCCATGTCAAAATGGCGAACTTAAGTAGTGTAGGAGTTTAAATTTAATCTCCATAAATATAAAGGACCTAATCGATTTCCAGCAATTCTATTGGCTGAAATTTTTAGCAGATGAATTTTCGTAAAAATTTCAGCCAATAGAATTGCTGGAAATCGATCCAAGGTCGTTACGCCGATACACCGTTCCGCTTTTTCTAGGATGGTGTGGATGCACCCTCAGTGTGATTTTTTTTAGTCCAAATTGCATAAGCACTTTAGAAAAATAGTATTTTCTTTATTCTATTTATAATACAACATATTATTTAGAAACGTTATAACACTGTAGAAATTTCAGCCTGTTCTTTGTCGCCTAAATTAGCGCCGGCGTGTTATTACCAATCTAAAAAGTTTTAGTAGCTTGATTCTGTGTATAACTCGGTTGTTTACGGGATTCTCAGATGGTGGCAGCACTAGCGGAGAGGTAGTATATTTATAGCTAGTGATTTTCCGTTTTAATTTTAAAATATAGTATCACAGATAACGTAATATATTATTAATTACTATGTTATCTGTGATAGTAAAATTACACAGTTATATAAATATGCCCAGAAAAAAGTATAACGTGCTAAATATTCATTCTCATTTTTTTCTTTTTTTTTTGTTTTAAATGTACATTATTCACGAGAATATAAAAACGAGGAAATGCAAAATAAAATATATAAATTAAACTGATCATAGGCACCTGATAAAATCTATTCTAATCTAAACTACTGTATTTATAAATCGCGAACATCACTGTATAAAAAGCAATGACTAAAGAGTACAAGGACATGTAACGCTCATATACTGGCTGCAGCAGAATTTGTACGTTAGACGCCATCATTTTGGAGCCTACGGATGAATCACCACCTCGTCAACAGCGACAATTTTAACGATTTTTAATAATTTGTTGTGTGTAGTGAACTTTGTATAAACTTTATTACAATGGTGATGTGTTCAGCTTTCAAGTGTAAAAACCGCAATGATAAGAAAGAACCAGAGTTGCGTTTCATAAGTAAATAAACAGTCCACTCCACCTTTTTAGCGTTTTCTTATTGAATTTGGTATTTATTTTTCTGATACTATGTGTACTTTTGTGCTATACGCCGATACTAGTTTTGTACCTTTTGTTAACATTTTAATTCGTTTTTTCGTAATTAATTAGTATGATTCCATCGCCAACACCATAGGCGTAGTTAAAACATTTATCAAAAATATAAATATCCCTTCAAGCAGCTAAGTTAAAAAAAATATATGACCACGGCACTGCTTGGTGCCATGGTAACAGTTTGGTCTCGGTTATATGTCTTTGTATTCTTTAGTCATTGATAAAAAGAATATTAATATAATACATAACCATTAATACCTTGTTTTTAATTTTTCTTCTTATCTTTTTAAGCGACTTCTCTTCAGCTTTTGTCAGAGGTAAACGTGTAGGAACTGAGTAACCTTCGGCAATCAACGTCCTTTTTTCTTCTTCCGTTAGTATAAGAATTCCAGTTGATCCTTTCTATAATCAGATACAATAATTATTAGATTGATAAAATTTATTTAACGATAACTAATAAGATGAGATGTTACAAAAGCCGCGTTACGAAAAAACTTAAAGAGCAGTAAATTAGAAGTTTTGTTAACAAAAGAACATTCCAAAACCAATGTGGGATAGATTATTATAGCGTTGATTGAAGAAATAAGAAGATGCGCAACCTTATGGGTGATTTCGTGCTGTGCCAAAACCTGTTCGAGATTTAGTTTAGCTCTGTGCCGCTGCGCGCTGGTAGTCGTTTACAGCGCAGCGGATAAAGAATACTGTTACCGTAGTTCTGCTTTCAGTCGACAGAGTGCGTGATTGCCGGAGACAGTGTTGCCAGAACTACGGATTATCCCGTAGATTTACGGATTTTGGGTACAATACCTTAATAATACGGATTTTCTATCATTAAACAATTTAATATAATATTATATGATTAACCAAAGAACAGCATCAGAGTTGGGTTGGAAATGAAAATCTCTGTTATTTCATATGTAAAATATTATGGTAAATGTTAACAGTAGTCATTTCCAAGTCAACTAAACGACTTTTTTCGATCGTACGAAATATTCAGTACCTATAAAAGAATTTATATTTTTGTTGTTTATTCTATGTTTGACACGAATAAATGTTCAATACATAAACGCGGATTTATTTGTCAAACGTATTACAGATATTACACATTTTAATATGGAAATACTGTCGCTTTCAGTTCCATATACCGTCTTCGATATGCCTTCAACAGCCGAATTAGAGAAAATGAGTGTTTTATGCGTTCGCCGCAGAACGACTAGAGGCTCCACCATACAACACTTGAGACGTAAGGGGAAATCAAATCAGCCTTGTCACGAATTTGCCCAAGGTTGCGTATCAATCAACTGTTATAGTGATCCGCAATGTTTTCTCTACAAAGGGTAGGTGTTTTATTTTTATTAATTTTATAACATATATATATATTTGTAGAAAACAATGTGGCGTTTTAGAAAACAGTGTTCTTCTGTAACAAATAATTATCAACATAATATGTATTATTACTAAATAAATAACTATAAGATTTTTTTTCATAGTTTATATTATATTCGCTAATCAGTACGATTCGCTAATAGGTCGTTACAATTAGCTGTTCTGATTACAGACGTTGTACTGTATTAAGTTTGTTGTCAAATCAAACTTGAAATAAACAAACGGTCTGCTTGTATCTGTTGGAATGGAATGGTGTAATGCTTTTGAATAATAAAGGCAGATGAATACAATAGATAGATTTGATATGGGATACTCACTGGTTGACTACTGATTAAAGGTGTGTGAATCGGTTGTCGGGTAGACGTATGATGCGGTAACACCGATTTGGTTAACTTTCTAACAGATGGAGATGGTGGCTGCGAAATGGTAGTATTATCTTCAGAGTCATCGCTACTTGTACACGATGGAGGCGTTGGCGGTAAATGAAATGTCGTCCCATTTGCTGTAAACAAATAATAATAATTGCCTCATCAAATGATATAACATAGCAAAAATATAGTAGTATAAACTTACCTAATCTGATATTGAACTTTGGAATATTTATCCTTTGAGGTATAATTGAGTGTGGAGATGTGAGCACTATATGTGAACCATTTTGTTTCAAAAATGTATTTGTTAACTGAAACATTAAAAAAGTCTATTAATATATGTACAGGGTGCGTTTCAAGAAAAAAATATTGACCGCGACGGAAGCTGTCACATTCCCTTCCACGTCTCTTAGCAATGTGCACAGTTTCTCGGTTTATTTCATACGTTTGGCAACGTATTTACTCCTTCTCTCTTTGTTCAGTACATTATAAATGCATTGTACTCCTCCTACATACGGAAATTTCGAAATTAAACTTACTATTTCTGAGTCTATGTGAATCTCATTACTGCTGACAAATTGTGGCTGAGGAGATGATGGACACGAACTTTGAATACTATCTGTTTCACTGTATTCGTCCTTAATATTGGTTACTTCTTCCTTTATTTCTACCGAGTCTTCTGTTAGTCTATCATCGGAGGTGTTCATCTGTATAGACGGATAGCATTCGTCTTCCATATCTGAAAATAGAAGGCAACGATAATGTTAAAAATATATAATATAGAATTTTCTGAAATAAAGTAATATAGGTATTATACAGGGTGGTCCGAACTGTATTCCGGAAACTTTGGCATCATATTCTGTAGATAAAAAATATGTAAAAAAGTTCGTATAAATGTATGTCCTAAAATGCTTAGTTTCGAAGATACAGGGTGTAGAAGTTTCATTTTTATTTCGATTTTTTCCAAATAATTTCTGAAGTAACATCAATATTTGGATGAAAAAATTTGTTTTTTTGATATCAGAAATTTGATATCAATATGACTCCTACTTGTAGAGGGCGACAACTACATATTTTTGAACTGGTTTGATGAGTAATAATTTTTTGTCCGTACCTGTATAAAATTACTGAGTAAAAATATACATTTATGGAGTTTTTTACGTAAAAGGTATTTTGGTAAAAACCGCTTCGAGTAATGGTTCTCGAAATATTTGGAATCGAAATTATCAATACCTGTCATCATTGACATAATTGTCTAAAAACTTGTCTAAAGTTGACTAAATAGTTTAGACTGAGATCATAAATTTAAAATGTTTTTGTGTAAAAAGTTCAACAGCAACTGTTTTATCATCGTTTTGTCGCAGAAATATTTATGATTAATTTAAAAATATAAAAATTTCCCAAATTTATTATTTCACTCACATAACTACCTACTCAACGTGTTTATTTTTTTGTCAATAATGACATGTATTGACTATTTCTATCCGAAATATCTTGAGAACGGTTGCTCGTAGAGATTTTTACCAAGAGACATTTTTTACGTAAAAAGTCACGAAAATGTATATTTTTGACACAGGTACGGATGAAAAGTTATTACTCTTCAAAACAGTTAAAACATGGTTAAAACACATGTAGGTGGCGCCCCCTACAAATAGGAGTCATATTGACATCAAAATCAAATTTCTCATGTCAAAAAACTTCCAGACACTAATTTTCATCGAAATTTTTACGTTACTTCAGAAATTATTTAGAAAAAAACTAAGCATTTTAGGACATACATTTATACGAACTTTTTTACTTATTTTTATATGCAGAATATGCTGCCGAAGTTTCCGGAATACACTTCGGACCACCCTGTATAATATAATAATTAATATATAAGACTAAAAACTTACCATCATCGATTTTTTCGTGTGACATAGGTGAATCAGTCATGGAGTCTCCTTCAGAAGCCAAACTGTAACTGTGTTCCTTTTTAATGGGCCTAGCGCCAATAGCAGCGTCAGTCATTAGTCTGTCGTGTAATATTACTCCAGGAAGGTCTTTTTCCATGTAGCTCCAGTCGCCACCTGATTCTCTGCTGGAATGCAGTCTCAAGACGTCTCGCATCTCCTGAAAAAGGAAAAAAGTATTTTTAATACTGGTACTCTCTGCGCGTATAAAATTAATAATGAAGACGAAGTTTTTAGTAACGTAAGCCTTCTTCTAGAAGGAAGGTGCTACAGAGGTATTGAATAGTACCGTATGATCGAATAAAAACGGCGTCAACGATGGCTATGAAATAAAGATCGCTTTTATTTTATGTGTAAAATTATATGGGAAATGTCATCGATGGTCATTTCCAAGCCAACTGGACGCCATTTTTTTTCGATCATACGGTATATTACATACCTAGGAGGGAAGTGTTTCATTACTGTCGAGAGATTAACTAAATCTCGAGACAATAATGAAAACTTTCCTCCGAGGTTTGTATACTATTTTATTTACAACCACATCATTAATTAAAAAATAGGGATTTTATTTTGAAAAAAAAATAAATATGCGAACATTTGTCGTTTTCTGTTTTGGCATTTCCATAATCTATTGTTACCGGTACCAGTGATTGTTATGGCGCAAACCTTCAACAGTAAAACCAACAACTAAGTGCAAGTCTTGAATTTCTCGTTTGTTTTTTCGAATTTATATAACAAAGAAAACCAGAATGTTGTCGGAAAGTTCTGATATTGAAGACTACTTTAATATTGGTACCCCACCAGAACTTACAGAAGCTGCAAAAAGAGCAGAAGCCAGTTTACTTCCAAAGAAAAGTAGGGGGCGATATGAAATAGCATTGAAAGTATACGAAAAATGGTGTGCCGAAAGAAATGCTAAGAATATTGCTTCGGAGACAATCTTGATGGCATATTTTAGCGACATGACAAGGCAGAAAAAGCCATCTACTCTTTGGGCTACGTACAGCATGATACGGACAATGCTAGTATTAAGGGAAAAGACTCACATATCAAAATATCACAAACTCGTCGCTTTTTTAAAACGCCAGAATGTAGGTTTTAAGCCAAAGAAGTCTAGCATTTTTACCTTCAACAAATAAATGTATTAAAATTTTCAATTATTATTGTTAATCTTCTTGTTTATTTTTGTTGATGTTAGATAAATATTTAATAGAGATATTACAAGAATATTTTGCTTAATTAAATGAGGCAAAAAATAAGAAAAACCGAGTGAGGGAAATGGAAGAGGGAAGAAATGTAGATAATTTGACACTTTCAAATTTTTTAAGTCAGTAATATCAGTATTACATATTATGTGGTTGTAAATAAAATCATTTCCCACTTTGCAAATGCCATTTTTGACATACAAATTAAAATATCTCAAAAACGGTTAAGCTTAAGGTTTGTTCGTTTCTGTTGTGGTTCTACGGGTTCTACTCGTTTAGTGAGTAGAAACTTATTTAGTGCCAATTAAAGTAGAGATTGGCAGTTGGCAGAGAGATATTTTGCTAATAGATATCGATTGAAATGTCGTTGTTAAATAAAAGCACTTTTAGATTTTCTTTTAAATGTAAAATTTAATCATAATTTTCACCGAAATTTTGAATAGAAAAAGTGGTCCTATAAAAATAATAATTAATAATATATCCAATAAAGGGTGCATATACGGGATGGGTGTTGGAGGTAACTGCCCCTCCCATGAATAAATTTATAAATAAGATAAAATTTGGTATGAAATAAACTTGTCACATAAGAAATTTATCGAATCAAGTTTTTGTTCCAGTTACAATATCCAGTTATTAATATATGTTTATCTATTTTAATTTCTTTAATTATTGTTTAAATTAATTATTTAATTAAAATCGAATGGAACTTGACAAGCCCACCCTGTCTAATAAGCCCCCGCCAAGTCGAGCACAGCCGTAGATATCATAGTCACAATCATAGTATAAGGAAACTACTTCCATCTACTATAGCCGTACCATCCTTTTCTCGAAGGTATTAGCGGCACTTTTGACCACCCTGTAACTTCGTTGTGGATAAAGCAAGAATACTAATTTTCACTACACATGAAGACATATATAGCTGGCTTGGTTACCAAAATATATAATAATTGTACCTCATAGTTTATGAATTCTCGCTTGTCAAATTTCTTTAATTTCGAAATTTTTCGACTCATTGAGAGATCATCAAAAGGTACTTCTAGATTTTGCACGATATGATATTCTATTTTAATTAAAAAACTTTAATTTGAAGGGTACTGTTTAGATGCACGAGATGGTAGATTATTCTTTTATAATTATGGTGTTGTGCAATTGCCAAGTCATTATAATTATTACAGAAATAAAGATGACTAATATTGATACTAACAATTTATAACAAAATTTCTGAATAGGTGCTTAATAAAATCCTAAGACTAAGACTAAATAAAATAAACTGACTTGGTTTTACATGAGATCTCACAACTTTTTATAGTTGAAGAATTTTGTGTTGCGAGACTTGGCATTTTTTACATTCTATGTTTTTGATGGGATACATTATACTGTCATTCATACTTTTATGACTCATAACTTCAGAGGAGAAAGGTTTCATATGAATTATAAATTACAAATGAAATTCAAACATACATTAAAGTTTATGGCACCAGGTACTTTGATCTCATGATATAGTATGAGTGATTTTGTTTCAACTATTTTTATTGATCATTTTTTTTAAATTCTATAAAACTGTTATTCTACGAAACAACTTTTTTGATATTTTTATGCATGTTGTTAGTCTGTTTTATAAAAAATTGGAAACGCAAGATGATTTGCTGCAACTATAAAATATCGAGAATTAGAATTAAATTTAAAACCTTTCATGCCATGGTACTGACTGATTCATCCACGGTACAGGGGCTTACGTCCAGGACCTAGATATACAGGGTGGTCCGAATAGTATTCCGAAAACTTCGGCGGCATATTCTACACATAAAAATAAGTAAAGAAATTCGTATAAAGTTATGTCCTAAAATGCTTCTTTTCGAAGATACAAGGTGTAGAAGTTAAATTTTTATTTCGATTTTTTCCTAATAATTTCTGAACTAAATTCGGTATTTGGATGGAAATTAGTATCTGGGAGTTTTTTAACATGAGTTGTGAACATGAGAGGATTTGATTTCGATATCAATATGACTCCTACTTGTAGGGGGCGCCACCTACATCTTTTTTAACTGGTTTGAAGAATAATAAGTCTTCGTCCGTACCTGTATAAAACTGTTGTGTGAAACGATTGAAAAATTATTCTTTACGTAAAAAATGTCTCTTAGTAAACACACGAAAAAATCGCTAAGAGCAACAGTTTTCAAGATATTTGAAATGGAAATATGTAGTTAATACGTCATTATTGACAAAAAATAAATATGTTAACTATCGATAACAAAAAAATAAATGATAAATTTCTGAACTTTTTATTTTTTTAAGCTAATTATGAATTTTTCTAGAAAAGAATACAGTAAAACAGTTTCTGTAAAATGAAAACAATGAAAATTTATTATTTCAGACTAATAACTAACCCAGTCCACATGTATAATTTTTGTCAATTATGACATGTTGTATTGATTATTTTCATTCCAGATATCTAGAACGGTTGCTCGCAGCGATTTTTATCAAGAGACTTTTTTACGTTTTTTACTTAATAAGGCGTAAATGTATATATTTTTACTCAGTAGTGTAATACAGGGATGGACGAAAAGTTATTACTCTTCAAAAAAGTAGAAAAAATATAGGTGGCGCCCCCTACAAGTATAGGAGTTATATTGACATCGAAATCAAATTTTTCATGTTAAAAAAACGTTAAAAATGTTAGTTTAAAAATTATTTCGAAAAATTAAAAAAATGACGAATTTTCTACACCCTGTATCTCCGAAACTCCATTTTACGACAGAAGTAAAAAAGTCAGTGGCGTACATGCTTTTTTTTAGAAAAATATTCCAGTGATAACCTATATGTACGTCCCTGGTGAATACGTCGACACGTTTTTAGCTTTAAAATATGTCGCGTTTATAGTGACTTTTACCCTCTTCATTCGAAAGGCTAAAAGTACTTGGAAGAAAATTATAATAAATCGAAAAAATATTAAGACTTTAACACCCTGTAGCTACGAAACAAAGCAGAAGCGTACCTATGTTGATATGCAAAAAAAATATTTTTACTCGAGGAATCTCCCCACAAGAGATGGCACTTGTTTTTTGAAACACCCTTTATATAATTAATAATATTATATTTAACTTATATTCTGAAGTGAGTACTAAATTAGTTGACCGAAATATGCTCAAGACGAAGCACGGTATAATAATAAAAAAAAATCGGCGGTAGAGATGGCTGGGAAGGACAATCGATGATAATTTTGGTGAGGTCAATCTCCAGAAATATTAAAAAAGAATAGAACCCCTCCCCCCCGTTTCTAGACACTCAAATGTCTTTCTAAAAAAAAATCTCGCATTTTAAACTACACCATTTAAAATCATTTTTACTTAATATAAAAATAAATTACAACCCTCTTAAGGCCAACTGGCAGTAAGTGCCATTAGAAAATAAAACAAGACGCTTAGGGCTTGACAGCCAAAATTGTCATTGATTGTTATTCCTTAGCCGTCTTGACGTCGTTTTTTCGATCGTATGGTACTAGGGTTCAGAGCCGGGAAATCCCGGTACCAAAAGTACCGGCAATTTCCAGTTCTTTCGGTACCGATTTTTTTTTACTCGTTAATATAATGTAATTAAAACATTATTTTTTGTTACATGCAAAAGTTCATTGATACTTTCTAGTGGTCGAAATCGAACACTTCTAAATAAATAATGATGTTATCTCTTATTGTTCTTACTTCTGAATTTCATATAATGCTTATTAACAATTATTATTGAAGTTTAGATATTTTATTTTATTATTATAAATTATAGTTAAATAATTAAGTATATTGTTGTTCAATATATTAGTTATATTATATGCTGTTTTTATAGGAATGTATATGTATGTGATTATTTAATAACTATTTTCATTAAAAAGCACATATTTCTATCGATTTTATTTTTGAAACCCCATCCCTTACTTGCTGATCGACGAAATGTACCATCATTGAACAAAAAATTAGCCAGTACCGCAAGTACCGAAAAACCCGGGAAATCCCGGTTCCTTAGAGGCGTGGTACCGAAATTCCCGGTTCCGACAAACGGCACCGGTTCCGGAAACCCTATATGCTACTGGTTGCACAGTGGTTCCCCTTAATTAGCTGCGCGGTCATAACTGTTAGATATCTAGATATAGCTTGATTGCACCTTTTTTAATAGAAAAGAATTGATAACAAATGCTAAATAAATGTATATAAAAAATTTAATGTAATATGTATTAAAAAAATTGGGCCCAGTTCGTGTGATTTGCATTTTAAGTTCTAACTATTCGGAAAGGTATACAGATTATGTTTGCACATATGTACATGGTTTTTCATATTGAAGAGGTCAAATTTATTTTAAATGTTGAAAAAATAAAAGAGACAGTTGTTTCATTTTATAAATACAATTTTATTGTCAATTGATATACAGTGTGTCCACGAAATAAGTTGACACGAAGGGGAAAAAATAAGTTACTTTTATTTTAAGACAAAAAGTGTATAAGATCCGGCGGCAATTCGCGCCAGCCAGTGGCAATTAATTTATATGCAATATACTTTAAGCAACAAATATGATCATGCCGTTTAAGAGGATTTGAAAGGGAAAGTAGTTAAAAGTCTTAAAGAGTGACAAGCAAAAATGTAAAAATACTATTTTTGTTGCCTTCAAATAAATTGCCATAAACTAATATTACTTAGGTTTAATTAAGCGCAAAATAGAAAAAAACAGTTTTTTTTACCTTCTTTTCGAACGTCCATTACAGAAAAGGCAACATCTTTTATCAATTTTAATAAAATAAGTAATTAATTGGCGTTATCTGAAAACTATTTATGTCAGCTTCTATGGTCAGCTTGATACCAGTAGCAAAAATGTGACATTTCTAATAAAAAAAGCGCTACACTAGGCTTACTTGATTTTGTTATTTATTATATATCGTTTACAGGGGAATATAAGAAAAGTATTAGCAACAGTTTCATGCAAACATTTTGAAACTGATATTTCTAAGAAATGACCTATCTGGGAACCACTGTGCTATGGTACTACATAAAACTAATCCAGTTTTAAGTTAGCATTTATTACAAAAACATGTAAGGTAATCAAATTATCAATAATAAAACGAAATTAATATTTTAACTCACACTTGTAAGTTAATGAGGTACATATTTTCAGAATTTCAGAGCACAAGAAGGGGGTATCCTAGTACCCTTCTCATATCTACCTACGCCATTGGTCTTTGGCTTTGGCTCATGTGTGTACGGGCGTGGTAAGTTCTTTAGACCTTAGACACAAATGTGCCTTAGATTAAGAAGTTCCCTAGCTGGATGATAATAATTTTGCTTTTACCTTGTTTTGGCTAATAATCCTTATTGATGAACACTTTTATTAGTTCTATTCTGAGTATTTTTTTTTCTATGATGAACAATATAGGTCTCCAATCCAATGGGAGGATCAATGGCGAGACTGGGCGAGACAGTCAACTTAAAAAATACACTCAACGGTACTAATTTATATAGAGAATGCAATTTTATATGTTAACAGATTATGGACATACTAAAAACTAGTATATACTGATGTCTTAAAATCAAATGGCAACTTTACTTTTTCGGTTATGAATCTAGGCTTAATATGTGATAGCAAGAAATATACAATTCATTATTTACAATTGAAGAAAGTCAATAGTTAATTTAGCTAATACTACGATGCTGACAAGCAAATCAATAACGCACCTGAAACCGAGCCCGAAATTTGACTGGTATCTGCTGGTATCTTATTAAAAATAATTTTTAAAATAACACAAACTTGTTCGTTTTATTTCGTCTACACAATATATCTGCTCACATCTGCTCAAGACCAACTCAAAACATCTGCGATCGTACGATCGTACGATCTCCGTGTCCGTGATGTTTGTATAAAGAGTTGTCTAACTATATCATAGTCGGTCGTACTGGTCGTACTTTCAGTATGGTACAGAAATCATCATTATAGCTTAATAGCTGTTTCATTAATGGCGAGGTAGATGGCGCACAGGACATTAAATTTAAACCAGATTTAAACCATATATTTTTTTCCTTTTTTTCTAAATGAGTATCTCATATACAGACTGGTGCTAGCAAGGCGACTTCAACTTCAAGTTTTTAGAATAAAGTGCCTGAAAAAGCCCACTATGTTGGAGCGAAAGGTTGCATAAAAAATTTTTCCATCTTTCAGTTTATTAAAAAATACTCATACCCAAGAAAAGGAAAAAAATATATGGATACAATCTAAAGGGTTAAGAAAAAAGAAACAATTAAACTATTAAATTTAAATTTAAAAATTAGCTTAATCCGAAGACAGAATTTTTTATTAACTGAAATATTGCACAAAAATTGTCAGTTTCATATAAGTTTAACCCTTTATAGGGCAGTACTAATTATTTTCTAGTTTGATCAACTAACAGGCCCGTTCCTGAGATGAGTAGCCCCTGGTACAATTTTTAACTTGTTTTTATGATTTATGATATACATTTCTGATATAGACATTAGTATGCTTCTATATACAGGGTGGCGCACCTCATTCGCCTCGGTTGATTACACGAAAACGGAAGGATGTAGAAACACAATATTTTATGGGTACATGTGGGAAGGCAATGTACATAATTTAAAATTATTTTGAAATGTACAGGGTGTGCAGAACTAAGATCCATACCAAAGTTATGTTTTTTCTTATGGACCACCCGGTATTTTATTTCATTTTTGGATTCTTGGACACAAAATAAGGCATTTATTATAAGGGTTTAATATGTTTAAAAGCTTTGGTTTTTGAGATATTTAAAGATATTTAAATATGCATACTATAATAAAAAAGTTTGTCAACACCTCATACATTACTTTTCAGAATTAATTCTAGTGCTGACTTTCAAGCCAAAGAAATAAACTTTACTAAAAAACTTGATTTCTTCCTTAAATGTATAAAGGGGTATTAAAAATTGCTGGTCTATTTTAAATATTTATTTTACATAAAAATTTCGTTATTTCAAATACAACACCCTGTATTTTTTTTAAATAAGTCGAAGCAGATTTGAATGCTCTTTCAAACTATATTAGGGTTTTTTATACCTATTTGGCTCAGATTTTGAATAAAAAGCGATTTTTCAATAAAATGAAGATGGCTGATGTTCGCCATGGTAATTTTCTAGTGACACTTAGTAGCTATTTTCAAAATCGACATTAGTTTATGGACTTGATTTAAATTTATAATAGGTTATTTTTATTTAATTTATCTACAATAAGGTTAATAAGTAAGTATTAATTATTTTATCAAGAAAAATGAAGCAATATCTGCTGGCCGAAGTAATGGGTATTATGTTACTAGTGATTAGTTATTTTGTGAGGACAATTACTTGTTAGCCTGGTAAGCTCAAAGATATCCAAATAGGAATTTTCTTGACAAGCGTTCCTTTGAAAAACAACTTTTCCTATTTCGCAGAGCTGATAGTGTGGTATATGAAAAATCTATTAGGCAGAAACCTGTCGTTGGAAGTGAAGAAAATTAATTTGCCTTAATTTGTTCTTTTATAGAAAATCCAATATTTCTACAAGTCATCGTAATATAAATCAAAAATAATTACTTCTTTATTTTTCTTGGTAAAATAATAAATACTTACTTATTAAACTATTGTAGGTAAATTAAATAAAAGTAAACTGTTATAAATTTAAATAAAGTCTATAAAAATATCTAAATAAACTAATGTCGATTTTGAGAATAGCTACTAAATGTCACTAGCCATGGCGACACCAGCCATCTTGATTGCCATTTTATTGAAAAATCGCTTTTTATTCAAAATCTGAGCTAGATAGGTATAGGAAACCCTAACACAGTTTGAAAGAGCATTTAAATCTACTTCGATTTATTTTAAAAAATACAGGGTGTTGTATTTCAAATAACGAAGTTTTTATGTAAAATAAATATTTAAAATAGACCAGCAATTTTTGATATCCCTGTATACATTTAATGAAGCAATAATTTTTTTAATAAAGTTTATTTCCCTGGCTTTAAAGTCAGCACTAGAATTAACTCTCAAAAGTAATGTACAGGGTGTTGACAAACTTTCTTATTATAGCATGCATATTTAAATATCTTTAAATATCTCAAAAACCAAAGCATTTAGACATATTAAACTCTTATAATAAATGCCTTATTTTATGCCCAAGAATCCAAAAATGAAATAAAATACCGGGTGTTCCATAAGAAAAAATATAACTTTGGTATGTATCTTAGTTCTGACACACCCTGTACATTTGAAAATAATTTTAAATTATGCACATTGCCTCTCTACATATACCCATAAAAAATTACATTTCTACATCTTTCCGTTTTCGTATAATCAACCGAGGCGAATGAGGTGCGCCACCCTGTATAACTTCAAAATTTAGCCTTAGGTATAGACCACAATTAATAGATCTGAGAAGGTCGCAGTGGATCAGGCCGAGAGCCACCTCTAGGAATCTAGCCTTAGTTAATTTCGTTCCACGAGCACCATGAAAAAAATAAGTTTCCTGGACTATAAAAAAGTGGAAATTACTTGTTTTCAAATATGCTGCTTAGTTCCTTAGATTAAGAATAAAAACTTAATTCTAAACAAAAGATTAAGAATGTCTAAATACCGATATCTCAAAAACTAATCTTGCGATGTAGGATTTTGCCATAAGACTGTGAAGAGAAAGCAATGAGCTTATTAATGATGTGCCACACAATTAGGGTTTCCGGAACCGGAGCTGTTTTTCGGAACCAGGAATTTCAGCAAAAGCGCGTAAAAGGCAAACATTTCAGTTGCGTCTCTTAGGAACCGGAATTTCCCGATTTTTTCGGTACTTTCGGTACTGACTAATTTTTGTTCAATGGTGGTGCAGTTTATCAATCAGAAAGCAAGGGATAGTTTTCAAAGTAAAATGGATAAAAAATTGAGATTTTCAGTCATGAAAAAATTAACATGAACACAAGTAAAGAAAAAAGTATAGGTAACTTAAATTTCACAAATTTGAGACAAAAGCACTAAATTATTGAATTAAAAATGCAAATATCTATTAAAACATAACATAATAGATATTATAGGAACTTCAAAAGAGAAAAGAAGCAAGAACAATAAGAAATAGCATTATTATAATATTATAATACTTATTTAGAAGAGACAGATACACAATCGAAAAAAAAAAGAAAACACATAGGTAGCTTAAAAATTACATCAAACAATATCAAACCAACCTCGAAACCAACTTATTAGAAAAAAAACTTAAAATTTTCAATTAAAGATGTAAATCCCTATAAAACATCACAAAAAATATCACTAATGCATTCAGCAATATTATACTAAATAATAAAATAACATATTTAAACTACAATAATTGCTAATACACATTATAGAAACTTCAAAATAACTTCAGAAGTAAGAACAGTAAGAGATGGCATCACTAATTATTTAGAAGAGTTTGGCTAGAAAGTATGAAAAGTCTTTCGCAAGTAACAAAAAATATGTTTTTAATTATTATTACCGAGTCCCTAAAGTACCAAAAGAACCGAAAATTAATAATTTCGAGTCCCGGTTCTTTGATGTCTCAAAAGAACCGGGAAATAAATTCCGGTACTTTCGGTACCGGGATTTCTGGGTTCTGAACCCTACACACAATGTAGGTTCCTATTTCCTATTACAGAAAGTTAGGATGGCTATCGTCTAAGGTGATATTCCCGATATCGCAATTTCTACTTATTAAATTACCACCCTGTATACGTTCCTATTTAGAACTTATGTAAACGGTATTGTTTATTGTGGCAAATTTATATGCAACGAAGCCATAAGAATGCCTGTGTGCGTTTTTCTACAAATTAGATGTTACACGAAACGCACCACAACGGGCGGTCATCTATGACAACCGTGACCACAAGTGTGTCCGCTCCTAGAAAAAGGTTGTTGACTTGGCAGCCGGTGGCCGGCGATGGTACCGCGGCACCGGCCGGCCGGCTCTTATTGCGCTGAATTTTGGCGTTTGCCAAATTAAGGTCTTGCAAAGGATACCGCGATCTCGGGTCGACATTCTGACGTCTAAATTATCTATAGATTTTGTCAAAAAATGGCTTACATAGAACTTGAATTTAGCACTTTTTTTACTGCGGAATACCTTTGCAAAGCCTTTTTATACAAAGGACTTTTTGATTGTATTTTATCTATCTTTACACCGAGCCATCGATCAGCAGCAAAGCAATTAAACAGTAGAATGCTGAGTTACTAGAGCCCGTGAATGGCAGCTCTACACCGAGAAATTAACTGAGTTTAATAAGGAGATTAGAAGGGTCTGACTTCAGATCTTTTTGCGAAACCATCATTTCAACTACTTATGCAGCTAGACTAGGCCATAAAGCTATGGCCAAGAGCGGGCCCATCCCCAGCATGGCACTTAAGAAACTCGACGGAAGCTACACGGAAGGAGATGAAAAAAGAGCTAACCTCTTACAGTAGAAGGAAAAGAGTAGTTGCACTCTCC